AAATAGCTGTCTAAATGTAATAGCTCATTTTATACAAAGGGTAAAATTCAGTGCATGCGATGCGACTGCACCTCAATCTAAGAACAGTTTGATCTGTTTTATCTTTTTAAGCTTATAATCCAGAAACATTTAACATTTCTTCATGATTTATAAGTTATTTTAAATAGCATGCAAGTCACTTCCTTCCATTTCCATTTCTTTTCACTTCCCTGTCTTTGTACATCTACAACTTTACCTGGTTACTTTGCCTTCTACTCAATTTTTGAACAGAGCAATATTTCCTTAGTGGCTTGGAATGAAAATTGGTTGTATCAAATATGAACTAACTTAAGAGTTTGATAAGAAACTGTGATTTACTGCATGTTTGGGCTATAATTTGATTTCATGTGTTTCTCACAAAACTCTTCTTAATATAGACCTGAATAATAGTGGGAAGTTTCATTTTTTTTGCACAGTAATACTTTTCTCCACGTGGCTTAATAAACTATAATTTGGGGTGAGCTCTCTCTTCTGTGTGTCTGTTACTATGTAGATTTTTAAAAAAGATGATATGCTTACTTCATATCATTTTTCCTAATGCCTACCATCCCCAACTTAATTGCCTTACTCCTATTGTTTCTAATAGCAAGAGCACTTATACACCACTTCATAGTGCTTTAGAGCACTCTCTAAGCCAGTGGTTCTCAACCTTTTTAATGCCGCGACCCCCAACCGGTCGTAAGTCGAGGACTACTCAACTGGTGCAGCACCGTTTGCAGAATGGGACTTTTGGCGGGCTCAGCAGGGCAGAGACAGCCTGGACAATTCCTATTGGCTTTCAAAAGCCAACAGAATAAAAGGGAGTAGCACAGCTAAGGAAAAGGGGAAAAAATTGGCAGACTGCGTTGTTTGGCGACCCCTGTGAAATGGTCGTTCGACCCCAAATGGGGTCCCGACCCACAGGTTGAGAACCACTGCTCTAAGCGGTTTACAGAGTCAGCATATTGCCCCCTACAACTTGGGTCTTCATTTTACCTATCTTGGAAGAATGGAAGACTGAGTCAACCTTGAGCCAGTGAGAATCGAACTGCTGGCAGGCGGCACAACTAGCCCTCAATATTCTTTCTAACCACTGTGCCACCACGGCTCAAGATAATAATAAAGGTAGTAAAGATAATAATAGTGAAAGGATAAGACAGAATATTGCACCAAGGCTGTGAAGACCCAATCCTAATACCCAGTGTGAAATTTAATTAAGGAACATAATGTTGATTTTGCATTATTTTAAAAAATGTTAAAGATAGTACGAGCTGGGGCTATAATGTGCCCAGTTTTACCCTCCAAACCCCCATTTGATATAGCCTAGTAGCAACTCAGTGTGGTAGTTAAGATGCTGAACTAAATCCAGGGAATCTCAGGCTCAGGTCCATCTTCTACCACTGTAACTCCCTGAGTGTTTTTGGGCGACTTTTGCTCTCAACTCAATCTACCTCATTCGTTTTCTTTTGTGAGAAAGAAATAAAATAAAAGGTGAAAAGGCTTCCACGTCTGCCACTGTGAGCTCCCAGGGAAAAGGCAGGTGTAAGTGAAATAAATAAATCGGCAACTTGAGAATTGCAGTATTTAGAGGAGAACTTCTGGGATTATCACAGAGAAAGAAGCCATTTATTTTTTTAAATGCTTCACTTACATACTTTTTTAAATACTACTTCTGTCTAGGGCTGTGATTTAAATTTTAGTGAAGTAGTACTACAATGCCACGTTGCATGTTTTATGTGAAATGTAACTTGTCCATTTTTCTCATGCTCACCTGCTACTCAGGGTCCTTTTTCAGAATAAATGAAAAGACAAGTTCTATGTATCCTGCAGCCTCTTAAAAACCTCTCCAGACATTAACTCAAAACTTGCTTCTCCTGAAATGCATGGAATCCTAGAAGAGCATAAGAGGTTTTACCTTTAGCTCAGACTCATCAAATGCTATTCCTTGACTCCTTGCTTCAGACAGAAACTTCACTTAGCAGATGTTCAAGATCTTCCGAAAACCAGCACAAGCTAAATGTGCCATTTTCTTGCTTGTATGGGGGAATCCAAGTTCTTGTATTTAATTTCCAGCAGACTGTTCCTTGCTTCTGAAACAACATGTTGAAAATAATTAATATGTGCACATACTCCTCTTAGCAGACGTGCATTGTTGTAGCCTTGTCAGGCTTGAAGCTTAGGGTACAGTATGGCCATGTTTTGCTGCTATGCTTTGTATCGTTGCCTTATCCTCTGTGAAATGTGGGGAAACTTGAAAGAACATTTCTAAAATGGAAAAGAAAATCAGTATTGATTAAGTTAATAATGAACTATGGTGTGCCTGCTTCCTTTTCCACAATGTAGACAATCAGCACATGCTCAGTGATGCCATTAAATGAATGTTTAATTTATTTTAGCAATAAAATAATTTTAAAGATTTCTGTTTTCTATAGAATTTATGTTACCATTGAGTGTTTTTATGTGTTATTGAATTTATAAAGCTGCCACATTCATAATTTATTACTCTGGGCCACAGATACAAGTAAATGCCCAATAAATATGAAACCAACATAATAAACTACACCAGTACATAGATAATCAAGGCTGAAAATAATAGCAATCGTACTTAGACTTCTATACTGCTTTATAATGCTTTACAGCCCTCTCTAAGCGGTTTACAGAATCAACGTATTGCCCCCAACAGTCTGGGTCCTCATTTTACCAACCAAGGAAAGATGGAAAGCTGAGACAACCTTGAACTGGTGAGAATAGAACTCCTGGCAGTCAGCAGAATTAGCTTGGAATACTGCTTTCTAACCACTATGCCCTCATGGCTCAAATAAACACTCCTTCTCATAATCAAGTGGGTTCAGTTACCATCTTGGCCCAAAACACAAGAGAAAAGCATCTTTTCTCAGCTTTACAAAAGAGTAGTAGGATCAGGGTGCCTGCACATCAGGGGTGGGGAAGATGCTCATCCCAAAGAGCAGATGCTGCAACAGTGAAGGCATGGAGTCTAGGTTCCATTAAATAACTGCCTCTGGGAACCTGAAGCATATCTACTTTGGGCGGCTAAGTTGGATGAGCAGAAATGGCTGAAGATGGGCTCATATCCTGCGCCTAACTCAGCCCTCGGAGCAAGGGAGGAATTGCACTACATTTTCATTACAGCTTTACATTTCATTTATCACTTGGGAGACCTTGTTATTAGAAAGAATGAGTTTGCAGTTGTACATTGATCTCACCCATTTAATAACCTTGAGTGAGAAAACAGTCTCAGACATCTGTAAGCACACAACCAAGCTTGGAGGGCACCAAGGATTCCACGTTGGTCTCTGTTGTATGTATATATATATTTATTTTAAGTAATGAAAGTGTGAGGGTGTGGTGTTCAAATTTTCCACTTCTAGTTTCAGGTAATTAACCTTCTATATCTGTATGGTCTTATTATTTTCAGATGATTGACAAACAAGAAATTAAAATGTGAAAGTGAGTGGTTTCATACGGAGATCATTATATTGATGACTGATTAGCATCGTAGCTTGATTCTCAGCGTAATAACACCTTTTTTCTGCTGAGCCTTACTGATCTGGTCCCTTCCATATAAATGGGGACCACAGTAATTCTCACTAGTATAAGTATTGGCAGGTTTTAATTGTTTCTGAGGTGTTACTTCAGTGGTAAGTTGTTTCAATTTTCTAGAAAATTGTTTTGAGTCCCTACTTTGTATTGCAGTTTCATGTGTTAAAATTAGTAACAATATGGATTTCTATTCCCATACTTGATATTCATGGAAATCGCCACTACAGATGTGAAACCTCTTCATGTTATGGTGGCTCCGTGACAAGTGTGCCACATCTTAATAGATGATGTGGTCAATTAATAGAGGAAGCTGATGTCCAGGTAAGACAAGGAATACATTAAATCTAACTGAAGTAGTCAAGGTGACTCTTAAGATTGCTTTCTCCCTACCTTTTATATCTCTATAAAACCTTTCTGTTCATCCTAAAAATCAGGAGATTTTCTGGAAAGAAATATATAGGATTGCATTTGTGATATATAGTATGCTATATATTTAAATGATTTCAACTGCTAAGTAGAGTTGATAAACTACACACACACACAAACCAAAAATCCTGGATAGAACACAGCTTCCCCACTTAAAGCACACGTGGAATTACTTTTTAGCATAGGGGACCAAAAGAACAGGATGGAATTGGAACAACAACAAAAAGGATAGATGCACTGCGAAGGAGAAAGAGAAGCTGAAATAAGATGGGAAGGGGGGAGTAGCTGGATAGGAAAGGGGAAAAATCGGAGTAGCCTTGCTTAGAAGTTACAAATAACATTAAACTCACTAGAAGAACAGCTCTTCCTAAGCACTTCTTCCTGCTTTTTCATACCTTTTTCTGTAGACACTGATTTGGTTGCCTGTGTAGTATAGCTTATATTACTACAGAATACAAGAACTCATATGTTCACAGTTTATTATTTGGAGAAGTCTCAATTCTACTTAGCAGGTTTCCACTAATTCAAGAGGCTTTTTCAATCCAAGTTGCTATTGTTTGAAAAGGAAAAAATGGAAGGAATTTGCAGATGTTTGCTTCTGGGTTTTTTTTTAGCAAGGAAGAAGAGCGAGCATAGTAAGTTAAAGTGGCTGTTACATTTGGCTCCATCCCTATTTTTATAAGTCCTTCAAAACTTGATTGTGCCAAAAGGCTTGGGGATCTTAAAAGAAAGGGGAGTTGCTGAGGTAGTTTCATTGTTGTTAATATTTGTTGCTCCTTGGCTTGTAATCATAACATTAATTTTAATATTATTGCTTTCATAGTACTATTTTATAATACTTTTTAATTATTTGCTTTCATAGTACAATTTTATAGTTTTTTACTGTATGCCAACTAGAGTGATATTTTGTGAGATGGATGTCCATATAAATATGATGAATAAATAGCAGGGAAATCCTAAAAGTCTACATCACCCTTTTATGTCATTTTTGAATTGCCAACAACAATGTATGAAAGTTTGGAGTTTTTTTTTTAATGGACCTCCCTTTTTAGGAAGAGCTTTATCTCTCTTGTTCTTTCTCTCTCTCTTTTTTTTTTAATCAAAGCTGAACCAGAAGAAATACTGTCATATAAGTACACAGGTTGATAGACTTAGTGCTACAGTGCTCCCACAAATCCAAGGTGACTTTGCCCTTGTAAATAGATTCATAGTGGACAAAGAATATTTTCCTCTGGTCCTGAGTCAGCAATGTTGGCTGAAAGCCCAAGGTATGTTGTATTGTGTACATGGGTTTCTATGGAGATGTGGAGAAGACCTTCAGCCAACAGTACTTCTGGCTTTTCTCAGAAGGGAAAGATCCACCACTTCTTAAGGTAAAGTAGTAGATCTACCTGTGATTACTTATTTGTTCAAGAGTGTGAAATTGGTGGTAGGATATTGAAGGGTCCGGGGTGCGTAGTGTGTGTGTTGTGTTTCGGCAACTGCAGAGTTGGTATTCTCGTAGACTAAAAAGAACAAAACACAATGCTGAATCCTGAGACTGATGCACAAAAGCTTAATTTGTAGTATAATTCTAGAAGTTAATAGAATTTATCCTAACTCAGATTCCCATGTCTAATTGCATTCAAATGCAACCACAAAATCCACAACAGAGCTTTTGAAAAAGAAAAGTGTATGTTTTAATAAAAAAAAACCCCGAATAGCTTATTATTTTATTTTCCCCCTTCTACACACAGACAGTAGTCACTGATTTATTTCCTGCATTTAACCCCATGTTTTAAACAGTGGTTCCCCCCAACATTTTGTGTAAGAATGAAAAGAGTCCCAACACTCATGTACACAGTTTACATTAAAAAAATAAAAATATCACTACAGTTTCTCAAGCTGCCAAATCATAATAATCTAAATTAATTGATGCTGGTGTCCTGCTCAACATGGATTGATGGGGATCCAAGTAATATCTGAAAATGAAGGATGTAGAGAAGGATAATTTATACAATATAAATATGTGTAAATATGCTCATTCTGATAAAGTTATTAGCTTCTAGAGATTGCCCATGAGGTAGCATTCCCAATTCAATATGCATACTTCAACCCCTTCTGCACATTTTAGCCCTCCCACAGCTTGCACAAACAATGCCTTTTTTGGTAGGAGGACAATGGGTGTTGTAGGTCCACCATCTTAGATTACAGTATTTATTTATTTTATTTTTATCCAGTCTTTACTACTTTTACAAATAACTCAAGGCAGTGAACATATTCAATACACTTTTGCCTTCCTGTTTTCCCCACAACAACCCTGTGAGGCTGACAGAGAGTGACTGCCGAGAGTCACCCAGCTGGACTACACAAATCAATCCAAGTTTTATAGCTCTCTGTGTGTGTTTGTGTGTGTGCTTTTAAGGCAGTTTTGACTGCTGGTGACTGCCTGGACTAGTCCCTGTGTTTTTCCTTGCAAGATGTTTGGAAGTGATTTACTATTGCTTCATCCTAGGGCTGAGAGAGTGACTGGCCTAGAGTTACAGAACAGGCATTGTATCTAAGGCAGGATTGGTACTCCTAATTTCCTGGGTTTTTTATCCTGGTGCCTATGACAATAACTGCCTCTATTTTATAGTATTGCCCTATTTTAATCAAATACTAGCCCATCATTTACTTGGACTTCAGTATGGAGAAAAATGTGGGTTAGACAGCATCACCACCAGATGGATTCGTAGCTGGCTGACCGGCCGTACTCAGTGTGTGGTCCTCAATGGAACCGCATCTACATGGAGGGAAGTGTATAGTGGGGTGCCCCAGGGCTCTGTTCTAGGCCCAGTGCTCTTCAACATCTTCATCAATGATTTGGACGAGGGGATAGATGGGGAACTCATCAAATTTGTGGATGACACCAAGCTGGCAGGAATAGCCAACACTCCAGAAGACAGGCTTAAGATACAGGAGGACCTGGACAGACTTGAACACTGGGTGCTATCTAACAAAATGAAATTCAATGGTGAAAAAAGTAAGGTTCTACATTTAGACAAGAAAAAACAAATGCACAGGTATAGTATACTATAGGAGGTACCTTGCTCAATAGTAGTAACTGTGAGAGGGATCTCGGAGTCCTGGTGGACAATCACTTAAATATGAGCCAGCAGTGTGCTGCAGCTACCAAAAAAGCCAACACAGTGCTGGGCTGCATTAACAGAGGGATAGAATCAAGATCACGTGAAGTATTAATACCACTTTACAATGCCTTAGTAAGGCCACACTTGGAATACTGCATCCAGTTTTGGTCACCACGATGTAAAAAAGATGTTGAGACTCTAGAAAGAGTACAGAGAAGAGCAACAAAGATGATTAGGGGACTGGAGGCTAAAACATAAGGAACGGTTGCTGGAATTGGGTATGTCTAGTTTAACAAAGAGAAGGACAAGGGGGGACATGATAGCAGTGTTCCAATATCTCAGGGGTTGCCACAAAGAAGAGGGAGTCAAGCTATTCTCCAAGGCGCCTGAAGGCAGGATGAGAAGCAAAGGATGGAAACTGATCAAGGAGAGAAGCAACTTAGAACTAAGGAGAAACTTCCTGACAGTTAGAACAATTAAACAATGGAACAACCTGCCTCCAGAAGTGGTGAATGTTCCAACACTGGAAGTTTTTAAGAAGAGACTGGACAGCCATTTGTCTGAAATGGTGTAGGGTTCCTGCCTGAGCAGGGGGTTGGACTCGATGACCTCCAAGGTCCCTTCTAACTTTATTATTATTATTATTATTATGGATCATAACACAGTCAGCCAGATGTTCAGACTGGATTTGGCATTTTGTCTACCTATCGAGTCCTTACCCAGGATCTGGGATAGGCAGATGTGGATGTTTGATGGTATTACAGGTATCGTCGCAGAATGGAAGCAGTTCCTAGTAAGGCCGCCTTTTGCAATTGATGATGATGATGATGATGATGATGATGATGATGATGATTAGTTTCTGCCCCAACAATAATACATAACATTAATACCATACATATGAAATGCGATGTGTTTTTTATTTTATAATCATAAATATTACAAAAATGATATAGGGGACCTAGAATAATTTGAAGAAACTGAAGACACAGTCCAAATGTTTGGCTTGTTTTTAGGAGTTTTATAATTAGGATGTAGAATTTAACTGAATTTAGAACTCAGCATTTACTCTTGAATATGAAAGTTATACCATTATTCCACTTCTAGCTACTAAAGGAATCTAGTTGATGTCTACAGTAGAATTAACAGCAGACAAGAATGACTATTACCTAAATAATTATAGTTCATACAATATATATACCTCATGGTGACATTTGAAAAGCTTAGGATACCCTACAAGAGACAGAGTCCGAATCGGAGTCAGACAATGGAAACCCTGCATACACGATTCAGTTCTTGGACACCAATTGAAAACAAACCACTTAACAATCAGGTGAGTTAATGTTAACACTTAACATTTAAACTGCTAAATAATTTGCTTTATAATTTAGTATTTCCAAAACTTTCATAGCTCGCTTGTTCATCAACAGCAGGCTGGTTTTATACTTTGTTTAAATGTTTCCAGAAAAAAAAGTGCTCTGTTGTAGCAAGCATATACATTCCATGAAATTGTGGCATCTAGTTCTGCCTATAACTGAAGAGTATCATAATAAGCCTTCATAAAAACTGATTTGAGTTCTGCTTCTTGCTTCCTGGTTTCGACCAAGAGAATAAGTTTGTTATTTTAGCACTTGCTCATCTACAGGCTGCCTGAAGCAAAAACCTACTACTTGTACGCAAAGATTGTTTTGATGCATATTTGACTTGTGGTTTCTATACTCTTACATAAATCTGAAATAAATACAGCTTCCTAATGCAGCTCTTGTTCCTTTCTTTTTTTTTTTTTGGCTGCTAACATAAAAAAAAAATCTGTTAAATTAGTCTCATGTCCAAAAACTTTTTCTCACCACAATCACAACGATGTAACATTGTTTTTTAAAAAAATAATTTTATTGCTTTTAAAATAATAACAAAAAAAGAAAAAAGGAATAAAACTCAAAAATACATTATAAAAATACATAAGGAGTACTTAAAAATAAGTAAAAGGTATGTTGGGGCATAAACATTCGTGCATCATATATAGAGAATTGCAACTGTTTACTGTATATTTACATACTGTACAAGAAAAGAAACACTAAGAAAAACCTATACAAACATTAGAATGATCCATTTTTTTACACTGTATTGTCTATAAGGACATCCATACAGACTTATTTTGTCTTTAGTACCTATAGTCGGAACATTATTCCATTTCTCTGATGGTCTCCAAATTCTGCTATCTTGCCTGTAGAATTATAATGTTGACTATCTAGTATTCTTCAGGATGTTCAGGTTTTCCCCCCTAATGATTTTCCTTCCTGCTTTTATTTATTTATTTTTATTTATAACATAAGCCACAGTGAGTTGTATAGGCAGGTTCAAAATTTAACTCAATCAATTGATCAAGATGGAGCTCAGCTGAAAGAGGGTCTGCTACTGCCTATATATGATGAAAAAACAGCATAGTAGAAAGTAAACGAGTGTTCTGTGATTGACATCCATTTGTGAGGGTAGACATGATTTATTTTGAAAATTCCAATGAGGTCCCCAGACTGTAAAGATTTCCTTCCCCTAGTTCAAGCTTTTTTTAAGAAATAATTTGGATAGCCAAAACTATGCAGTATGCTGCAGCTGCCAAAAAAGCCAACTCAGTTCTGGGCTGCATTAACAGAGGGATAGAATCAAGATCATGTGAAATATTAATACCACTTTACAATGCCTTGGTAAGGCCACACGTGGAATACTGCATCCAGTTTTGGTCACCACGATGTAAAAAAGATGCTGAGACTCTAGAAAGAGTACAGAGAAGAGCAACAAAGATGATTAGGGGACTGGAGGCTAAAACATATGAGGAACCAATAATAAATGGTTTTGTTCAAAAGCTTGATTTTGCAGCATATGTGAGGATATGTGGCCCTCCAGATGTAGTAGCTAAAGTCATTAGCACTGGCCAACACAGCCGATGTTGAGGGCTGTTGAAAACTGAAGTTAACCAATGTCTAAGTTTCTTACCCAAGTTGCATCTTTTAATAAGATTATAAAATGACCCTGCAATGAAAAACTAGCAGTACTGCACATGGAATGGTCTCATCTTGTATGTTATCAAACTGTCTTTTTTATTTAAAAAAAAAACTTGTGGCTTTGTTTAGCTTTATCAGGAAAGAATCAGACTTATAAGCCACTGGTTTGACTTGTGGACAGACAAACAACGCAAGCAGTTTCTCCTCTTGATATTGAACAAGTGCAGTAAATCACAGCTGAAGTAAGTGAGCCACTTGTTTTAATACTATGCTTTGTGAAAATAAAAAGTAGATTATGCAAGGGCACCTCCTATAATATGAATTATTTACTGCACATTGTTTGCTATTTCTGGAGTCCAATCCTAGTCAGCTGGAGCTCATTGAGATCTCCATACAGAAATCTAGAAGTAGTAATTTTTGTAAAATGTGGGTGCACAAATTGAGTGGACCAAAAGGCACATTCAACCTTTGGGATCTAGACTTCAAAAAAGTAACTGCTGCTAAAGCGGAAACTAAATATACTGTAAAATTATTTCAAATTAATTTAACATTGTGAATATAGTTATTTACTAGGCATTTAATAATTCTCCCTGTTCAGTTAACAGTTTTATTTTTATTTATTTTATTTTATTTTTATGAGACTTATATACCGCTTTAAGTGCAAGCACTCTCTAAGCGGTGTACACCAGTAAGCAATGTATATATATTTACATTGCCCCCAACAATCTGGGTCCTCATTTTACCTATCCCGGAAGGATGGAAGGCTGAGTCAACCTTGAGCCGGTGAGATTTGAACCGCTGACCTGCTGAACACAATCAGCTAAAGTGGCCTGCAGTACTGCACTCTAACTGCTGCACTACCTCGGTTGTGATTTAGTTATGGGTTGTGATTTAGTTATGGGTCTTTGGGGTAGTGGTGGCTCTAGCAACTTTGTTCATGGGTGTTATAAAATATGTACTTGGAAGCTAGTGACACGAGCACCTTAATATTATTTCTGTATTGATGACAAGATGTAGGCTTATTTTATAAAATATGAAGCAAAAGAGTTAAAGGAGATGTACAATATATATTTGTCCCATACACAGCCCTATTTTCCAAAACGTTGGGGGAAGGTGGGCCAAAATGGGAAAAGTACATCAGATAGAGATCTGCCTCTGGGGCCTAAGATCTTGGCCTCTAGATATCTAATGTTAAGCCAGGCCTTTTTTAAAGTTGAATCTGTCCACTAGCTTCCTTATAAACCTGTAGATTATAATCATGTCAATTTACAGACAGTGGCAAAAATAGTAGTGTTGCCCTGCCTTAGGAGGTGCTGCCACATGAAAATGAAAGTGAACATGAAAAACTGAATAGATGAGGCAAAGGGAAGGGGGGAGAATCTCAAAATCATGGCTTACCCATTAAATGTTCATAGTTCACATTTATATAATCTTCTTTTCCTGGCAATAAATGTAAACATTTCCCTAGATCTGATAATTTACTTTGGGTTGTTCTTTTTGTGTGTGTTTTACTTCCTTGTTGCATAGGTGTGCTGAAAAATGGCTTGTAGAAAATATCCCACTGAGCCATATAGATTTCACCACTCTGCTGCCACGTTTCATATCTTTATATATATTCTCCTTTCTCAGTCCGAGGGATCTTTGTGCTGCAGCCCAAATCAATTGGCACTGGAAATTTTTAACTGAACAGGTAGTATCAGCGTATGCCTTTTTTTCAGATAAGCCAATGCTACATGCTAGAGTTGTAGAACCATGGTCCATTAAATCAGGGGTGTCAAACTGCCAGCCTGCGGGCCGGTTGCATCATATGGGGGCCGCGCCCACCCTAGCTCCGGCAACGCAAAAAATTTGCGATACATCACAACACATCATATGACGTAGCGAGTTTGACACCCATGACCTAAGTGAATTTCAACTCTCAGCTGTTCCAGATTATGTGACCCATGGTGAGATACTGGGAATTGCAGTTCAGCAACATTCAAAGACCATAGCTCCTCATCCCTCCTTCACCCTTTGAATAAGCCCCACCAAGTTCAAAACTGAGACTGAGGGTTACACGTTGTAGTCATCCCAATTAAACGCCAAGTTACATGTTCTTATGCTCATTGATTTGAAATGACATGAACATTTGTAACATTCTCTAGTGAAGTTTCCCATTTGTGTTACTTGTCTCTTAATTATAGCCATTTCTTTTCTAATCTTGAATCGTTAGATGAAGAAGGTATCTTTCTTATTCCATATGGAAGGAAAATAGTCCTGTTTTCAACGATTAAAATTCATTGGCCTTATTCAAATTTAAAGTGGAATACTATCAATTGTAGGAGAAAGAGTGTCAGGAGAAGGAGGAGAAGGAGTGGTAGAATCTGGGGGGCAGAGTCAAAAAAGGAATCAGCCTAGAGTCTACTTAGCCACAAATGGGCTAAGACCAACTCTTCTTGAATTTAGGTGACCCTTTTCCTACCGCTAAAATAGTGCTAACCTGTAATTGAGTAGATTGCTGTGCATAGGCATGAATAGTAATAAATCAGTTTACTTAAAACTTCATGTCTGTGCACTTGAGACCAATACAAAAATTGGCAATAATTAATTTTACATTCAGGTGGCATCTGTCAGATCCATTCACCAATTAACACACATATGGATTAGCAGAATTTAAATATAACCCCTTCTATATTTATTTATTTTTATACTATTAATCAATCTTATTTATTGTTTTCTAGATCTCTTCTATTTCCATACATTGTTATGATCATTATAATTAAACCAAATTATGAGGCTCCTGAGTTAAAATCAAAGGAATTATCTTTAAATTGCTTTTGAATAAAACAGATTGCATGTACCTTCCAAATCAAGGAAAAGGGGGAAGCTGGTATTTGTGTACCTCATTCCCATAGATCTGCTTCTCTTACATATCTGATGTTAGTCATCAACAATTAAGTCATGCTTTATTTGATTTGATAAGCTGTGATAATAATTTCTCTTTGAAAATAAAGCATGTTTTCACCTCCTTCACTAAAGGACTGTCTGTGGATGCCAAAATGCCTTAAGTTAGGATGGTTTCTTCCGTATGTTCCTGAAAAGAATGAATATGGCGCTTGGAAGCGTTATTATATTGCTTGTGCAACCAACCTGGATTATCTGACTCCTAGGAGAATTGCATACCACAGAACTACCAGTGATCTCAAAACAAAAACTGAAGAGCAAGAAGAAAGAGGGCAAGCAAACTATTTTCGGAAATTTATTCGAGGGAGATTGGCAGTACACAAAAGTAAGTTTTGGTTCAGTTATTAGTAAGGGTGGATCCCATATTTTGACTTTAGCAGCTGGCAATCATTAAGTTCTCAGGAATATATGAGATGCACAGGAGTGCCTAGCAAGCCCCAAGGACTAAAATCTGAAATAAATAGCTTTTTAAATAATTACGTTAGACAGAAAAATGGAAAAGGTTTAGCTGACCTCTTTTCATAAATGTAGCAAAGTGGTAAGAATATTGTCTTCTCTTTGAAGTATGTGGATGCCTTCCTCAATTAATGTAATTATTTTCCGTGGGGCTTGAATGTAAAATACTCTAATGAATGATTCCTATATGAAGTATCAAATGATTGCAGAAATGGAATGCAGTTTATAGAATGAGTTATTCTTTCCCCTCTGTCCCTTGTTGCTCCTGTGAATTTGATTCTTTGCCTGTGCCAGTTTTCTTTGGATGCCAGTAGTTCCCCCTTTAGCTTTATTTATTTTTCACATTTCTGAACTGTCCACCTCCCTCAAAGAGTGTAGCTGCACCCTTGACACCTAGTAATCTCTTTTTTAAAACCAACCTGGGCAGAATTTTGTGGGCCAAATCCTTTTATTTGCACCCCCAGGGCATGTTCCCATTATTGGCATCATGATTAAAAAAAAAAATAGGGAGACAAAATTGAACAACTCATGTCAATCTTCTGCTATGACAAATATGATGAAAGGTTTGCCCTTTTTAGTAGAGCAGTTTGCATTTTTTGTGTGCCCACATGTCTATAAAGATCAAAATGTTAGTCTAGTTGTGGGTGGCCTGTGGATTCGTACATAAATTCTCTTCTGTTTAGGAATCTTGCACAGCTTATTAAAATCTAGAACTGGCTCTAAATGAAAACAGATTTTTAAATTAATAGTATAACCTGACAATGAAAAAGGGAGCATAAATAATCACCTTTTGAAAGTAACATATAATATAGTTGAATGGGATTTATTTTTCAGAAGAATTATTCAAAGCTCGTCCACCTTGGATAAGTGGAACCCGGAGCTCAGGATTTTACAAGTCTGGATTTCAACCACATTTGTCCCAATCTATCTATGACCAGGCTAAATTATCAGCTGAATTATTAATGAAGGTATTATTCCCCCCCCTCCTCAAATGTTTACATTTTTATGTCTGTGCATGCAGAGCTTTACTTAAGACTTGTCTCCATCCCCAAAATAATGCTCCATAATAGTGCTTAGTGCTTAAGCATGTGTTAAGGAGAGCAGTGTAGGCATATGTGGAAATGAGCTTAGGGGCCTGAGGATCAGCTAAACAAGAAATGTTGGTTCTGGGGTCCCCATTGCCAATCCCTGGTCTTGTTAATCTCATCTTGCTGTCCCTCCCTGTGTTTCCATCAATCTCCACCGGCTGAATAACGATGGTAGGAAAACCACTCTCTTCAACTACCTCCTTTAATTGGCTATGCAGGTTAACATAGATGAGTGTTGCTCAACCCTGGCAATTTTAACATGGGTGACCTTCAGCTCTCAGTGTTTCCATCCCAAGGTTGAGAAACACTGACCTAGATAAATAATCTAACTACCAAAAATGGTGTGGTGTGGTGGCATCTTGTCTGGTACTCCCTAATGCCTTCAGCTGACACTACCTGTGCTTGCATCAAGTGCCTTTTTTCCTTCTTAGAGAAATTTTGTATCCAAGAAACAGCATTTTCTGTATTTTGGCAGCCCTTAACTGAATTTTAGAAGGCACCACTAAAATTCTCAAGATGAAGTGTGACATTTTCCATTTTAGTCTTGTTGCAGATCTAGTTGGTTAAACAGCAGCAAATTGATTCTTCAGAAGCCATTCAAGTGGCTCCAATAATTCAGTCTGAATCTTTGTAGCAGAGGTCTAAAATGTTTAGCCAACAATAGAGGAATTAAATGTCAATGGTCTGTGGATCTGTATTCATCAAAAATATTACCCTTTTCTTTTGTTCTGAGCTAATTAACAGTTCCCGACCCGCACATCCCCAGAGTTCAATTCATTAAAAAGAAAATGCAGGAAGATCCATTGCAACTTAAATGTAAAATGGAATGTCAATGTGCTAATGACAGAATATTATCTTTCCTCCTCCCAATTGTATCCTTGTAACAGCCTTTGGGATTAAGAGTTGTGAATGCCTTCAAATCACAGAACATTGCTTGACTGTGAAGGCCCTAGGCCAAGGGACAAACTTCTTTTCTTGTTCAACAAGTAGATTTCAGTTGCTCATAGTTTTATTCCATTTCTTTTTGTCTCGCTGAAAAATGAAAGGGAAACAATATATACAGGAGAAACCTTTCTTGAAGAGCTGAGTTGGGAGGCTAGACCTTGGCAGATTTCCTTTTTTCCTACTCTGACTCTATGATGGTGTCATCTTTGCTCTTCGTCCTTCAGCAGGTAGTCTATATCTCCTGCAGGAATTTAGCACTCAGGTGTCTTGCTTCTTCTATAGCAGTGTTTCCCAACTTTAGCCTTTTTCAAGGTATGGGCTTCAACTGCCAGAACTCTTATCAATGGCCCTTCAGGCTGTTGGAATTATGGAAACTGAAGTCCACACACTCAAAATGGCCAAGGTTGGGAAGCACTATTCTAGAGCAGGGCTTTTCAACCTTTTCACCCATTGTACCACTTTTAGGATATAGCAATATCCGAGTACCACCAGTCGCCTAGCAAGATGTCAAAAACCTGATGACCCCCCCCCCCAAAAAGGAAAAAAGTGATAAAGTACAGGTAGTCCTCGACTTACAACAGTTCACTTAGTGACTGTTCGAAGTTACAATGGCACTGAAAAAAGTGCCCCCAAGCCACAACTGAGCAAGACACCTGCCTGCCCACCCGGCAGCACTCTTCCTCCTGTCCGAGGTTTCCATTGTTGTGAGCATTTCTGTTGAGGATTGGCACTGGGGGTGGGGGTGTTTAGTTTTTATTCCCCCCATCTGCTGGGTGGTTGCAGCAGGTTTTGGTCACTTCACATGACCCTGGGACACTGTGACCGTCATAAATATGAATCAGTTGCCAAGCATCTGAATATAAATCACAAGACCCTGGAGATGCTGCAACATTCCAGCTGATCGGCGCTTCTTCTGGGCTCGGCAGAAGCGCCAGGATCAGTGCCGAGCTCCTGCTGGAGCCTGGCGCTGATCCTGATGCTTCCGCTGAGCCCTGACAGCCCCGAAGAAGCACTGATCCTGGCACTTCCGCTGAACCAACAGCCCTGCAGCTCCAGCCATCTCTCACTCAGGCTTGTGCGGTGCTGCCACCAGTTCAGCTCATTCCCCTCCCCCACTACCACCTTTCTAGGATGGTCGCGTACCACCAGCCAGGTGCCAATGTACCATAGGTGGTACCCGTACCACTGGTTGAAAAGCCCTGTTCTAGAGTATACACCTATCATCCTTGGGGTTGTGGTTCCTCTTCAATATGTCATGTAATCCCTCTCTCTAAATGCTTTTATTGAAACAGTACTTTCCACAAATAATTTGTTTTTCAAACAGAGTTCTCAACAGAATAAATCTGCATTAGGCTTCAGACTAGAAGCTGAGAAGCCATACATCTTGTCTTCTGGGAAATCTCTACCAGAAAGGTAAATGCCATTTCAAATTAAGGTCTCTTCTGCATATGGAAAGAAGAAGATGGTCAACCAAAGTTTCTATAAGGGTTCAGAACTAGAGATAGAAGGGAACCTTGTCTTATCCTGTTCACCATCTGAATTAAGAAAAAAATCCCCATCTTGGGGCAGAAGCAGAGTTTCCTTGCAACATGGAAGTTTGACAATAGAGCTATATATAGGCTGTAGCGGTGTTTCTCCAACATCTGCTTGCCTGCTGTATTTTTTAAAAGCTGTAAACTTTGAAGATATCTGTCTGTAGCTGTGCCCTCCCTAAGAGAAAGGAGGAAAAACATGTTTCCTCTCTTTGTCCTCTCCCCTTCCCTCTGTTCCTTGTCTTTCCGTCCTCTAGTGGCATTCAATTTCTGTGTTGCAGATTATGTACAGCATACAATATCCAGTTTGAGAGTGAAAAGTGCTTGCTTATTAACTGCCTTGCGATGGGGACATGGTAGGACCTCTGTTCACTGTGCCACAGCTAATCTGTTCTGCCAAAAATAGCCAAGAAATGTCTCTGGGGATATTTTTTGTCTATGGGCGCTACAGAGATTTATATGCAGCATGGATGGTGGGGGAATTCTGTGAGTTGCAGTCCACACATCTTAAAGTTGCCAAGGTTGAGAAAATGAGTATACAGTTCGATTTAAAACATTTGCCTTAGAATTTCTGTTTCCAGTGGTGTAGCTTGGTGACCAAGGGAAACTTTGCTGTTGCAGGAAATAGAGTGGTATTCCTTTCTGAGCACTGTTTTTGAGATTCAGCAAAGGAAGGATTGATAATGCACTGCATACTATCTAGTCTGTTTCTGCCTGCCAGTGGAACAGAAAGACTTGTTGCATTTTCCTCAGATCTGTTCTGGGAGTTTGGGGAAGCTTCCTGAACAAATATGTTGCTTTCACACACACCAGAGGAAATCCTGTTGCAGGAGAGGAAATCTGCTGGTGTAATATTAGAGGGAGACTTCAATCTGGATATAGCCCCAGGATGACCTTTGGAAGCTGAGTGCACCACTTTTATCTCTGCTAATTAAAAAAAAAAAAAAAGCAGCCTCTGAAATATTAGGGGAGTGGCTTTGGAATCTTAGTTGACAGATTTGCTGCTAAACAGGTAGAACTTTCCACCTAATGAAATTCAGGGGAGAACCATAATATCACCAGGAAATAATGAGATCATTCAGCAAGCATGATGACTTGTTTGTGCTGTTGTTTTTAGCAAAGACTGTTTGAAAAAGTTAAGTGTGAAATAAGATTGATCAAAGTTTGTTATTTGTTTGTTCGTTTATTTGTTTCATTTATTCATTTATTCATTCAATTTCTATTTCTGCTCATCTCAAACAAATGAAGTTTGGATGTTCCATATTTGTGTTTTGTTTTTTAAGCAGGGAGATCCTTATCTAGTTGCAACTTCAGGACAAGAGGAGATGTGTTGCCTGTCTGTCCAACCTTGTGTTTACAAGTCTAGGTCTCCTGTTCTGTTGTGCAGAGAACTGCTGCTGTTGTTGCTGCTGCAGCTGCATGCAGAATCTAAAAACCTGCCCCAGAATGAATGAGGAGACCCAGTAATTGGTTCATCTGATCCAGTATTATCCATTCAGATTGGCAAGAGGATCTTTAGAGTGTTGGGCAGATATTTTTCTATCTCTGCCTGGCTGTACCATGGATTGATGTCCTCTGTCAATAATAATAATAATAATAATAATAATAATAATAATAATAATAATAATAATAATAATAATAATAATAGTTGGAAGGAACCTTGGAGGTCATCTAGTCCAAGCCCCTGCTCAGGCAAGAAACCCTATACCATTTCAGACAAATTGCTGTCCAGTCTCTTCTTAAAAACTTCCAGTGTTGGAACACTCACAGCTTCTGGAGGCAGTTTGTTGCATTGATTAATTGTTCTGACTGTCAGGAAATTTCTCCTTAGTTCGAGGTTGCTTCTCTCTTTGGTTAGTTTCCATCCATTGCTTCTTGTCTTGCTTTCAGGTGCTTTGGAGAATAGCTTGACTCCCTCTTCTTTGTGGCAACTCCTGAGATATTGGAACACTGCTATCATGTCCCCCCTCGTCCTTCATTAAACTAGACATACCCAATTCCAGCAACCGTTCCTTATATGTTTTAGCCTCCAGTCCTCTAATCATCTTTGTTGCTCTTCTCTATACTCTTTCTAGAGTCTCAACATCTTTTTTACATTGTGGTGACCAAAACTGGATGCAGTATTCCAAGTGTGGCATTACCAAAGCATTGTAAAGTGGTATTAATACTTCACGTGATCTTGATTCTATCCCTCTGTTAATGCAGCCCAGCACTGTGTTGGCTTTTTTGGCAGCTGCAGCACATTGCTGGCTCATATTTAAGTGATTGTCCATTAGGACTCCGAGATCCCTCTCACAGTTGCTACTATTGAGCAAGGTACCACCTATATTATACTATACCTGTACATTTGATTTTTCTTGCCTAAATATAGAACCTTAGTTTTTTCACCTTTGAATTTCATTTTGTTAGATAGCGCCCAAGGTTGAAGTCTGTCAAGATCCTTCTGTATCTTAAGCCTATCTTCTAGAGATATTAAGTCCATAAATCCAGAGCTCGCACGGGTTTGCCACTGTTGACTGTGATTATCATAATAATAAAACTTCATATGTAATATTAACTTTTTATTTGTGCAGAAGGAACATTATCTGTAGCAGTTCTTGTCTTACCTTGTCTCACAGATTTCGTCAGCCTATTTCCCAAGGATACCCCAATGGGAAGTATTCGCTCCATCCACACCTGGTCTTGATATCTTCCCACGTGCCTGCATACGAGGTAAAACTTCATGCAATCCGTCTTTCCTGCTTTCCTCCATGGGACTGAATGAGATGTCTTCCATTTTGTACACATAAGGGGAAAGTTGCATCAAATATATCCAACCATATTGGGTGTCCTCCTGGACTCACAACTAAATTTGGAACAACATCTATCAGCTGTGGCCAGGGGGACCTTTGCCCAGGTTCGCCTGGTATACCATTTGCCGCCTTATTTGGACCAGGAGGCTCTACTCACGGTTACTCATGCCCTTGTCACCTCAAGACTGGATTACTGTAATGCGCTCTACATGGGGCTACCCTTGAAGAGCGTTCGGAGGCTGCAGTTGGTTCAGAATGCAGCCGCGAGAGCGATTGTGGGTGCACCAAGGTACACCCACATGTCATCTATCCTCCGCGAGCTGCACTGGCTTCCTGTGGGTCTCCGGATGCAATTCAAGGTGTTGGTTGTCACCTTTAAAGCCCTTCATGGCTTAGGACCAGGTTACTTACAGGACCGCATACTGCCGCACAGTTCCCAGAGACCAATGAGGCCCCACAGGTTGGGCCTCCTTCAGGTCCCGTCGGCCAGACAATGTCGGCTGGCGGGCCCTCAGGGAAGGGCCTTTTCTGTGGTGGCTCTGACGTGGTGGAATCAACTTCCCCCCGAGATTCGAACTACTCCCATCTTGCCGGCCTTCAAGAAAGCTATTAAAACTCTCCTGTTCTGGCAGGCCTGGGGTTGATGTCCCCGGGGGGGCCAGGATACGATTGGGACATGCTGTGTGAATGTACTCATTTTTATTGTTATATTTATTGTTTTAATTTTGTATGCCGCCCTGAGTCCCTAGGGATTGGGTGGCATATAAATTTTATTAATAAAATAAATAAATAAATAAATAAACCAATCAAACAACAGAAAATTTGCTAGGTGAAATATGACAAAACACAAGGACTCAAACAAAATGAAAATATATTTCACAATTCATTTAATGTATGAGCTAAAAATGGGGAGAGTGAAAAGCAGAAAGAAATCTAGTTCTCCGTAGCCTTTTCCATCAAATATTTGCCTTGTGCTGAAGAGTTTAAAGGCTAGTCTTAAGCTGAATAAGTACTGTATGTTAAAGTTGGTTTGCTGATTGATAGAGCCTTCTGACTCATTTTTGTGTTGGGCATTCTTCTAATGCATAAGCAAATAGTGAAGAAAGACCATCTAGTGTCAAATTAATAAACTTTGAAAGATGCCATCTAAAACAGGAAGTATGTTATTTAAACTGTGCATATACATGTAATGGTAGGGTTTGTTTCCACTCTTCCATATTTGTATGTGGTTTATTTTATTACAATATTGAATTTAAAAATAGTTTAGGAGAGTAAACCAGAGTTTATAATAGATTTTTGTTGGCTAATTGCAGTTGTGGCTTAGCATGAACAGGGATACGTGGTTTACTCTCTCTGTGTGTGGGAAGGGTATTCTTTGAATTCTTTTAGTACTTACCTAAGCATCAGAAGTGCAAGTAGCTTTGAAAAGTAGATATAACAAAGCATAGTTATTAGACTATATCCAAGACAATAGTCTTGCTTTTTTTCCTAGTTTGGCAATTAGAAAATTGTTAATATGACTTAGTGGTGGTACAACATCAGCAACTAGAATGTTGGCAAAATCAGTCTTGTACAGAAAAATACAACTGTTGAAGTCATTGTATTGGTTATCAGTAGGCTACTTGGCTCAACTGTTAGCCTTGGTCATTATCTATAAAGTCCTAAAAGGCATAGCAACTTGCTATATTGGGTGATATCTTGGTGGAGTGGAATCTGCCCACCTGATTTGATCATGGAGAGTCTACTTAGAGATCTTCATCTCTTTGTGAAGTAAAAGTTCGACATGGTGGTAGGACCTCTTAGCAATAACCTAGTTTATAAATATCTGTCCATTGAGCTACATGTGACATTGTAAGCAAGTGAAAACAGTCTTATTCCATCAGTCCTTATCCTAACTGAATAAGGATACCATGATGAGTATTTTTATGGTTTTTGTAGCAGTCTTGTTGTACTGGTTGTTTTAACTAATCTGCTGGATATAGTGTGACCTAGAACTGCCATAAAAATCAACCAACCGATAAATAAAATAAACCTTTTATGCAAAGTATATGGATCACAGATAAATTAATTTATAGGAAGGCAGAATATAGAAAAGGAAAATATCCTGAGAGTAAGAGTACTTTAATAGTGGAACCAATCTCAGCAGATTGGACTTGATGATTCCAGCTTTGTTTTCAACCCTGCATTTCTATGAGTAATTCATTTTGTGAATATAATTTTAATATTTTTCTTTTCTAGTCATAGAAATGAATCCTATCTAATAACAAGAACTTTCAAATATATAACAGTACAAGAATGTCTTTAGACTAATAGAATTCATTCACTGTACTAAACACATTTGCTTTTAATTTGAAAACTATGTTCTTACTTGTTGTTTTCTTTCAATTTTATTTCAGATGGTTGTGGATAGTGTTAAGCATGGTGTGGTTCTGGTAGTGTATGAGCATACTGGGACCACACTGGAAAGCCTCATTCATTCGGTAGAAAAGGCCTTGGATGGCCAAATAGCAAAGAGTATTGGGATAATTAGTGATGGAGATTCCAGAGAGATTAACTTGCTTCAAGGTAAAGTTAAGATAAAATAATAAGAAACTTGAATAGCTGGCACAATCTTTCATACTGAAATATTACACCGAAGAGTTGAAATATGTGGAAGTGAATTTCCTAGATTCTGAGTTATATTGCAAGTTATATTGGTTTATCTATTTTCTAGCTGATTATGGAAAATAACCTCTTCCAGAAAAAAGATAACTATATGAAATATTATTGTTAAAAGGTTTTTTTAAATTACCAACAGCAACAACAAAAAAAAACCTGCAGAAACCAGCAAATATATTCAATGTACAATTTTGTGTGGCCATCTTTGCTGAAACGCATTCAGTCTTAGCTTCACAAGGCCGTCCAGAAAAAGTGAGGAACCAGCCCCTGCTGTGTCGGCCCCACCCCTGGGTTCATGCTGGGGAGGTGTCACCTTTTGTGAGGAATGAAGAAATGGACCATGCCTTGGCGCTTGTCTCGGTCCCACCCCCTTCTGCCAGAGACCCTCAGATCTGTCCCACTCCTGCCCAGGCCCCCACAGGCACCCTTGATGCGAACGATGTAGAGCTGGCCATGCCCACCCAGTAGGCCACACCCACTCCATCCACACCCACCCAGTAGGCCATGCTCACCCTGGCCACACCCACCTGGCCCCTGAGGGCAACCGCAATGCTGATGCGGCCCTCAATGAAATTGAGTTTGACACCCCTGCTCTAGGATAATCTTTATATATATCATCATCAATGCAGATGGCAAATTGCAAAGGAAGAAAGGTTTTGCTGGTTCCTCCCTCAGTTTGATTGGAATCTAAAAATATATACAAAAAGGAGCAGGAAGAGGGAAAGAGGACAATTCTTCCACATTTCCTATACAAGGCAAAGATTATTGTGGCTCTAAAGTTAAGAGATGGGCTCCAACTCAATAATGCCAGGATGACATTGTTTCAATCTTACTTCTTACAACAAAATTAAATCATAGGAGTTTGTGCATCTCAAGAGTAAAGGTAGGAAAATCAGAGTCTGGCATGTTACTTATATGCCTCTTCTAGAAAAAAAAATTGAACCAATCAATACTTCTGGTGAGGTATAATTAGGAGAATCTTTCTGCAGTTCAAGACAGCTGGAACCCTGAATATTGTCCATTCACCTTAAAAGCATCGTTTGCTTAATTTTATTTAGGTTACACAGTCAACACCCAAAATCTTCTTAAACCTGAGGTGAGAGAGTTTTGGAAGCGCTTAAAAAGTTGCATTATGTCTCCAGAAGAAGAGGGAAGCATAGACCTCTTTGTTCCTCTGGCAGCTTCAGGTCAGTCCAACTTGCCACCCTGAAAAGTTGGCATCTTTCTCTTTGTTTACAATAGATCTAATCAAACAGGAAACTCCTTTGATTTGTTTGGGCTTCAAAGGAGCTACCATATGTTATGCACTGGTTAATTGCTGGCCACAAACTATGAATGATTTTGCTTCTTCCCTCTTCCTTCCCAAACCCTTTTCTTTTGGGTTGTGCCTTTTAGATATTAGCCAGAAAGTGGGCGTTATCACGTCTTACTCATGCTTTCCAGTCATTTCCACAGTACAAGCGTAACCAGAGGCATACATAGATCAAAAAGTCAATATGTTGGCTGTAACCATGTGATTGAAGTCCCAAGACTGTGTGTGTGTGTGTGTGTGCATGTATGTGAGTATGATTGTTTTGGGATCTCCAACTCCCCCCTCCCCCAATACTCCTGAATATAACTTCATTTAATTTAGCTTCACCTAGCAAACATTTGGGTTATCCTCAGCTGTATCAGAATTGGTCTTCAAGAGGCAAAGATCCTAAGAGTTGGTTCACAGAACAAAGACTAAAATATTGTTTGTGTGTCTTTTCGCTTTCAAATTAAAAAAGAAAGAAGTCTTCTCTGATGGATAAAAACATCCAGAAATCCAATTTTCTCTTATGCTCTAGCTTTCTCCTCTACCTATTTATAGGATGTCCTGTGAAGAGTCTTTACCACCCTGTGAAATAATAAAATATTATTTGCAGGCCATTATAGAGATTTCCACCTCCACATAGTATTGTTATCACAGTATTGTACATATTGCACAGAATTATGTGGTTCAGGCTCAGTCAACAGAAATAGCACAAAAGGGTAATAAAATATGAGGAGCAAAGAGAAAGCAAAAGACTCATACTGATTAGAAACATTATTCTGAGTGGGTTGTTTTTTTTATAATGGCCATAACACCTCATTGTGAATCTATTCCAGAAGGGGTAGCGATGTTGGGAGATCACAGTAACTGGGTCAAGGAAAGATCTCCTTTGCCTTATTCTTTCAAACAGGCAGTAAAATTAAATTGGGGAAAAAGTAATACCACATTTCTTGTGGACTATTCATTGCTCAATACAGAGCATGTGTTTTCCCATCTCCAGCAGGAACAGGCAACTGCATTCATCTACTCTTAGGCTGATGTTTATTTTAGTGTTGCAATTGCTATATTCTACATTTTTTTTCAAATAATGTTTATTAAAAGTTTGAATTAAACAATAAAAGATAATAAAGACAAAAAGAAAAAAAACACAAGAATATAAATGTATAAAGGGGGGGAAAAAACCCTTCTCCCTAAGAAATGACTCCCCATCCTCTTCAGGGCAAGTAGACAATAAACAATTCCCTAATCTCTTTACCTTCCTTTAGCTAACAGATATAAAACTCTTCATCTCATAACCTACTTCTTAACAACAACAAATCAAATAAGTAACCATGTCTCCAATCCAGTTACCAGCAAAAGAGCCAAGCAGAGGTCTAAATTTTTTCATCAACATATGTAAAACTTAACATTCCACATCTTGCCGTGTAACTACAAGCTGTCCTTGACTTATGACCACAATTGACCCCCCAAATTTATGTTGCTAAGCAAGACAGTTGTTATGTGAATTGTGCCCTATTTTATGACCTTTTTTGCCACAGTTGAATGAAGCATGTTAAGCGAATCATGCGGTCGTTAAGTGAATCTGGCTTTCAGAAGCCAGCTGGGAAGGTTACAAATGGTGATCATATGACCCCGGGATAGTGCAACTGTCATAAATACATGCCAGTTGCCAAGCATCTGAATGTTGATCATGTGACTGTAGGGATGCTGCTACGATCATAAGGGTGAAAACCAATCATAAGGCACTTTTTTCAGTGCCATTGTAAGTGTGAATGGTCATGAAACAAACAGTTGTAAGTCAAGGACTACTTGTATAACAAAATACCATTTGAAAGTCAAGAAACGGTCCCAATATCCTAATATAAACAAAATTTTAAAAAACCCAAATTTAACATGACAGAAGAAACCATTTTTCCTTCACAAAAGAGCAGCTTTAATCCACAACATTCCAAATAACATCTTATCCTCAAATGCATGCTACGCTTTAAATGATTACTTTACTCATTTTCAGAGGCAGGAAAAGAGATCCTTTCACAGCTGACTCATCTCACTGGAGCATTCTTCAGGACTCCTACCGGAATAGCTACCGGGTCTTATCAGCACAGTAGGTGGAGAAAATTCCTACATATTTGGGAAGATCTACATCAGATATTTGACTGCTGGCCATATACAGTATTAAATCAGCTGCATCCCATCTTATTTTCCTCAAAGTTGCTGGGCCCAGGCAGAAGCTTCAGCAGAATCAATACTTGTATATAGCTTACATTTTTAGGGGATGGATGAGATTGCTAATAGATTACAAGTGAGCAATGACATTTGCTAGCAAAGAACAATTGCCAATCAGAAACTGATGTATCAAGTTTAAGGATCAGTGATCTGACTTGGCACAATAAACAGATGCAAATGGTATTTTGTAATGGGATCCTGAAAGACTCTAAACAAGCAGCAGCAGGTTCTTCTAGATCAGGCATGTCAAACTGCCGGCCTGTGGGCCAGATTTGTCATGATGAAAAACTGTGCTCACCCCATTGCCGGCAATGGGGAAAAAGTCACAATACATCACGCAACGTCACGCGACATCGCGAGTTTGACATGCCTGTTCTAGATCTTCTTAGCAATACTAAGAGGACAATTGAAATTGCTGGATGAACTATAAGATGTCATTTAAAACAATTTTGTGTGTAAGATGCATGTATTGTTCCACATGTTATTAAATTGCAAGAAGTCCAAGCAATAGGTTTTGAACACGGGAAACTGGAAGAAAGAGAAACAAATTTAACTACATCATGAATACTAATACTTCCATGTCGAAAATACCCAAGTGCTTCCGTGGCAAATGGATTTGCCAGTGACATCATAATTGCCCTTATGTGTCCACGGGATGTTGTCCACAAAGTGGTATCCATTTATTTACTTGCAGTTTCCCATTTTCAAATCGCTGGGTTGGCAGGAACTGGAGCAAGTGACAGGAGCTCACCCTGCCCTGAGCAGCAATGGTCTTGAACGTGAGGCTGCCGAACATCAGCTCAGTATTCTAATCTAACCTCATGAGCTACCATGTTCCTGCTATATCATTTATATGCAGCATTGCTTTGTTTTCCAGGGGTTTTTAATACAGAAAACAAAATCAGCAGTTTCTTATTTGATAGCATATTGATTCTCCCCAAATCTTAGCTAATTCTGTTTTTTTGGGGGGGGGGGGGAGAGACTGGAACATAAGAAATAGTCCATGGAGAGGGAAATGACTTTTGTGTTATTACAGTTTTCAGTGAATGGCTGGGAAATCAGAAAGAAAGCTCTCCTCCGTTGCTGTACCTCACTGAAGTAAAACTGCAAATATGGCTCAGATTCACTGAGTTGCTGGAAGAGGCACTGGATGTTGTCAGGAAAAAGCTGAGTCCATATTTTTTTGATTTGCAAAAGAACATGGCGGGCAAAATTATTGGTAAATTTTTCTCATTGTAGTCTTCTATATATATCTGAAATAAGAATTCCATTGGACATTGTAGACTTTTTGTCAGTACAACAAATGCTCTCTCCTTAGCAGTGGTGCTCAGTTTACTACAAAGATAGATGCCTGGGTTGACATTATATATGTGGATTTTTTTTGTGTTGTGTATTTGTGCATTCTTGCATGCCTTCAAGTCAATGTTGACTCCTGGCAATAGCCTGGACAAGCCCCTGCAGTTTTATCCTTGCATCTTTCTTAGGAGTGAGAAACAATGACTGGCCCAAGGTCACCCAGCTGGCTTCATGCTTAAGGTGGAACCTAAACTCATTTTTCTGTTTCCTAGCCTGGTATGTTAATCACTATACCAAAGTGGCTCTCTATTTACAGTATGTATAAAATCTCATTGTTGAGTTTGATTTCTGTTCAAACACTTGTCAGGTTCAGTGCTGATTAGCTGTGTGCTAGATTTGACTAGATGCTGCCAACTAATTCTCTGTCTGGATCTGTATATGTGCAGGCACAAGTAACTGGGTAATTAGAATATCCAAGTAATTTAATTACAAAGGGATTTCCTATTTTTGTCCCCCTTTAAACAAAACTGTGAAATGACTAGATAGCAACCCTGTGACATCTTACAAGTAACCAATATTTTATACACAGGTCAAATTATGTTTAATACTGTGAATTGGTCCAACATTCAAGACAATGAAAGAATAATCCAGACTTTGGCTAATGGATTAGTTGAACTCTCAAGAGGAAATCACGTATGATAAGTGTAAACTTTTAAAGCACTATATATTAAAAATAAGTTGCAATGGCATCAGTTTTGACTTCAGGACTTATTTGGTATCCTTCCATTGGCATCATTGTACTATTTTAAGACAACTTGGTGGGTGCAGGGTTATATTCCCCGTGTGGTGATCCTGAAAACCAGGAGTTGAAACCCTAGCTCTATGCACAAACTATCACTAAGAGGGCCACACCATTGTAATTCCCCTAACACTACTGTTTCTTGCTTAGATATGTTCTTATTAGCGCTTAGGATAAAGCTCTTTGTGAATTCACTTACTAGTCTGATAGTCTCTTTTCCGAAAAGCTTTTAAGGGGATGTGAGCAGAACAGGAAAGGGCAGCATCTATGTTGTCAAGTGACTGATTATAGCATCCATTTTATCAGACCAGAAGCTACAATCTCAGATCTACCTAATGTTTCTTACAGTTCTCTTCATAAATTGATTATCTTCATAAATTGATTATACACAGAAGGCTATAAAGGAGCACAGAGACGATGCGTCTTGACTTCACATAGGATTCTGTGATGCCTCCAGCACTATGGCATTTATGTCCTCAGTGCCACAGCTACAAAGCAGCACCTGTATATACAGTCAGCTGTATGTACAAAAACAGAAGAACATGTTAATCTCTTCCTTTTTTTTTGCACGCAGCTGTATTTTTAGACAACAGCTGAAGAGAGTTGTACTTCTCCGAGACTTAAGATGCATGGAGTGATAAGCAGGAAAGTGATTAAAAATGCTAGGAGTTCTATTTTTTGACACACTGCAAATAGCTTTAATTTAATTTAGCTAATGAAGAAGAATTCTCTTTGTTGAGCAACCAACCAAAATGTATGTTCCTATCCCTGGGCTCTTATAAAGTTCAATGCCCTGTTACAGTCTGCCTGAGAACAGTTGCTCTCAATTGTTGTTGCTTTGAGAACAAATTGCCACCAATATTCTATTGCAGAGAAGGAGACGGCCAAAAGGAAGCCTTCTGAAACAGTTGAATGAAGCTGATCTGCCATATGTTTTTCCACATCTTTTGCATTGATGCTGCCTGCGCATGATAGCCACTATTCTTAGCATGGGACAATGAAGTATCAACTTGACCATTTTGTTAATGTCGTGTTTTTTCACTGCCTTTCTTTATGTTTTGTGTGGGAGAAATTATTCAAGATGAATTAGCTCGTGAAAGTGTAGAATCATGCCATAACTTTTTACTCTGATACAGCCTGGACCTAATTTATTAAAATGAAAGGCAATAGTTGAAACACTATCTTACTTCCTCTCTTACTAGTTGATGTGGCAATGGCTGTATCTGCGTGAAAGGAAACAATAAGCATATTCTTTTAAGCATTTATTTGTATGATTCTTTAGGAAAACCGCTTGGAATTTCTATCATCTTTCCTCATGAAGAAATGTGAGACTGAAGAACTTGCAAACCAGGATTTTTTGACTGAGAGCACTTCGGAATCAGAGCTTGTACTTAAGGTACAAAAGAATCAAGTGTTGGGTTTTCGCTACTCCTGTAATTTTGTTTGTCCTTATTCTGTTCAAACCCTTTTTCTTGACAAAGTAAAAGATAAGTGGTTTGTCATGAGATTTGAGGTCTTTGATGGATCATTACTTGAATTTTTTTTATTGAGATGGTATTGTTAGAATAATTTTATATCCTACTATTGAAAGGAAGGTAATATGTAATTTTATTAAAAAGGTATTTGCACTCTAATTCTCTGCTTCAGAATTCATAAAATTGAACTCATATATGATGTATATATTTCCAGCATGGAAACTTTAGTGATTAAAGTGGCCTATTTTAGCTGGTGCTGTGCAAGCCAAAGTTATTTCAGTAGGGGTCCTTGGTGCTCTCTGAGTTTGCTTGTTTTCTTGCAGATGTTTCATTACCCTAATTAGGTAACATCATCAGTGCTAATACTAGCTTATTTCAATAGCTCATGCAAACAAATATCTACAGTAAATGTGAAATAGCATATTGAAAATAGCATCTCAATAGCATATTGAGATGAATGAACTGTATAATGTCTTACTTATGAGAACAAGTAACTAGCAGTACTATACATTTTGATTCAAAAGTAAAGCCCAGTAAAGTTTAATACCAGGTAAGCATATGTAGTGCTGAATCTGAAGAGGTTTTTGAAGTAATAGCAATATGCTTGAATCTCCTTATATATATGAATATATCTGGATATGGATATACGAAAAGAAGCTTCTAAGTTGCATAGCCAGAAATCAGATATAAATGCACCGCATCAGGCTTTAGATAGTTAAAATAAGCACTTTTTTAAATAAAAAAATTGTTGTTTCTCTTTTTGACATTTAGATAGATGAACCTCAAGATGTGATAGAGAAGCGCCAAAGCTTTGCCAGAGAACTTCTCTTAAGTGAGAGAAACTATGTCCGCATTCTGGAAATTGTGAAAGATGTCTATGTAAAACCATTAAAAGCAGCACTGGCATCCCATCAGACCATCCTAAGTGATATAAGTATTCAGCTCATCTTTTCTGATGTCTTGAACATTTTACAAGTAAACAGGTATATTTCACTGACTCTTTTGAACCATTCCACTACTAAAAAGTTTTAGAGATAAAACAAAGCCAATCCCTAGCAACCCAGCTCTAATAAATACTCAAGTGTTTGGGAATATAGTACCGGTAATTTGAAGTGATTAATAAATTTCCTGTAGACATAATTTCTTTCTAATCTGGATGGATGGATGGATGGACGGACAGACTTTTGAGTCAGTGTTTGCTCTTGGTGACTGCCTGGAGAAATTTTCTTGGCAAGTTTTTTCAGAAGTGGTTTGCCATTGCCTCTTTCTAGGCTTAAGAGTGAATGGCCTAAGATCATCCATCTGCCTTTGTGCCTCAGGCAGGACTAGAACTACAATCTCTCAGTTTCTAATGTCTTAACCACGATTTCAAACTGGAACTCTGTGTTCCAGTATGGTTAACTAACTGCTTTCTAGTCTGGTTTGTTAAAGAGTCATAAAGACGAGTATACATTGGATATGACTCCAAGTGTTCGTTTTCAATGAAAAGCAGGATTGAAAGTTGGACATTTCAGATCAGGAGCAACTGTGTCAATGTCCAAATGAAAGAAAGTGATAGGGGCACTATTTTCTGTACAAGTCAAACCCCAGCCCTGGTTCCAGTTCTGAGGGCCTCCATTTTGAAACACCTTAAGAATAATTCAGAGAAATTTGGATAGTTCAAGAAGAACAATTAGAAGACTGGAAACTAAAATCTGTGCAAAACACATTGGTACAAGTGAAGGATTTCTCTTGTAGTACTGATGCAGTCATATCCTTTGGGAAGCTTGGTACAGCTGGGCTTTCTCTGGTCATCAGTACACAAATAAGCACCTCACTTTTACCAGCAATCCCAGCACTGCAGAAATGTGTCCATTCAAGCAAACAACCTGAGAAAGCAAGCCATCAGTGCAACCCCACTGACTTTTGACAGGGTTGCCTTGACACTTCAAACAGGAATCTTCACTTGCATCTATGTTATTCACAAAATGATTTTTTTCCAAACGATTTGCGTAGCTCAATAACTAGGTTTTTTGTGGTTCTGAAAGCACTTCTCCAATACCTGGACGGGTGACCACACAGACAAAGTCAAAGTCTGATCTCTATAATCTTAGAATGGGGGGGGGAATGGATTCCATCTGAATGTAGAATAAACTTCCTAATGGCAACAGCAGATCAACACTGGAACCAGTAAGGGAGATGGTGAGCTCCCCTTTACTATGAATGGCTAGCTATCAGTGATAGTTTAATTTGGATTTCTGCACTGAGGATGGGGTTGGATTTGGTTGTTCATTTAAATGGCTGCTCGAATTATAGGATTCCCCACAGTGGGTGGAAAAGCAGTGATGTACTATATTATAATGTTTAGGATGAACATTTGAGAAAGCTAAGTATCTCTTCCGTTCTTTGTAAATTGGTTGGCAGGGGCTTTCCCAGTTTTGATAATGAGATAGATAAATAGCTAGAGAGATAGATTATTCTTGACAGTATTCGTGATAAGTGCTTTGCCACTGTTTTTTTCCAAGATGGTTTTTTTTTTCAGTTTCTAAATCTAGCCTACAGCCCTGAGATTTCATAGTTTCCTTTTCTGGCACTCAAGCCTGACTCTGATTAGGTTAGCCAGGTGCTGCTGGCTGATAGAACATCAACTATTGCAGACAAGTCTGGATTAGCAAGCATTCAACTTCATGCAGGTGATTTAACAAAATTTCCCAGAGGTAGCTGCTTGAATGCTTAAAGGTGTTTTTTCAAATGTGGGTCAGGCAAAGTATCAAATTTGTTAAACGTTATACAAAGCTGAGTTTCTTGTTTATATTTGGATAGCTCTAATATATAATCACCTGTAGTAATTCTAGATACATGGAATCACTTGGTATAAGGCAGGCTGCAATAACTGGATACCAGGGATTTTCTTAATAAAATATGCATTGAACAGCAGCCATTAGAAGGGCCAACTATTTTTCAAGGGACAGATTCTATTCTACCACTTTTTCAGATTTCTGCTTGGGTATGTGCTGAATTTATCAGTTTTTAGGAACAGAATATTTTAAGGTTGGCCAACTGAATATTAAGCTTATCTGTGATAAATTAATATCACAAATTAATAGTTTTATGTAGTCTTACTGGGATCTTTTCTACTAGAGTAGAGACAGACACATTAAAGGTAAGCCTTAAGTCTTGCCTCATTGAAACTGGGAGGGAGATAACTCCTTAGATGTAGAAACATAATGTCATCACCAGCTGTTGTAACTTGTCTGCAACCAGATAGAAAGATAGAAACACCCTTCTATGTCTGTTCCAAATACAGGTGTTTTTTAGCTGAGTTAACACGAAGGTTTAATGAATGGAGCCCTGCCCAAAACGTAGGAGACATATTCATTAAGTTGGGCCAGCATTTTCAAACATATACAATTTTTTTCAACAACTATGCAGTAATTCTGAAAACTATAGATAAGGTAAGAATGCACTAATTTCCCAGGATCTGATTTATTCTTATCTATAGGTTTATTTTATTAAACATACTCTCACTAATTCTTTTAAAATACATGATGGGCATTTCCCTTTTACCACTTTCAAATGGTGCCAGTGATGGAAGCTTTGGTTTTGGCTAGCATGCATTACAACAGGTTTAACTGGAATTCTCCTCATCTCAATGGAGCCAGAAAATAGGTTTGAAGCTGCCTATGATTATGCCTGGAGGCTAGCATGTATTATGGCAAAAGGTTTTTGTTGTTCAGTTGTTTATTTTCTAACCTGATATCAGTGTTTGTGTTTTCCCAGTGATTCAGTCCATCTCTCTGGATTAACATTGCTTCCTTCTTCTCATTCCTAACCTATTTTGATATTTCAATTAATTTTACTTTGTAGCCCATCTCCCTGTTTTTAGATAGCTGTGCTTGCCTTCATCTAGTTGCAGGAGTGTCAAACTGCCAGCCCACGAGCCAGATGCATCACACCAAAACCACGCCCACCCCATTGTTGACAATGGAAAAAAGTCTTGACACGTCGCGACACATCACATGGCGTCGGAAGTTTGACACCCCTGATCTAGTATAAGCCAGTTGCTATTCATTGTGGGTTTTCCATTCCACACAATATTAATTGATGAAGGGACAGTTTTGGCAGGATTGTTTCAGATTTATCTCCAGAATTGACATTTGGCTTATTTTAGCTATATGCGATATCAAATTACACAATAAGGAAATATAAAGAAAACAATACCTGCCGTATCAGATGCATAATCAATATTGTGAATCAGAATCAGAATAGAGCTGAAAGAGACCTTGGAGATCTTCTAGTCCAGCCCCCTGCTCAAGCAGGAGATCCTATACCATTTCAGAGAAGTGACTATCAAGTGACTGTTTTTAAGACTGTTTTCTTAAAAACCTCCAGTGATGAAGCACCCATAACTTCTGAAGGCAAGCTGTTCCACTGATTAATTGTTCTCGCTGTTAGGAAGTTTCTCCTTAATTCCAGGTTGCTTCTCTCCTTGATTAGTTTCCATCCATTGTTTCTTGTCCTGCCCTCTTTGTGGCAGCCTCTCAAATACTGGAATCATATCCCTTCTAGTCCTTCTTTTTTCTAGGTTAGCCAAACCCAAATCCTGCAACTGTTCTTCATATGTTTTAGTCTCCAGGCCTTTAATCATCTTAGTTGTTCTTCTTTGTACTATCATTATTATTTGTATTATCCTTATTATTCCTGCCTGTGAACTGGATAGCTTAACTAGTTTGAGCTGTTCAGTGAATTAATGGTTTCTATTTCCATTAAATAAAAAATGTTCCTTACAATCATAATCATACACAACCACAGATTAGGGTACAAATTACAGTTTAATGCCTAGTTTCAAGTTGGCACAAAGTTACATGCAAACCATGGCTGATGGCAGAGGGTTTTTGTTCTTATCTGATCTGCCTATCCAGAGAATTCCTAAACTTCTCAAGCCAACTTAGTTCTCATCATGGTGTTGACTGGGAATGATGGGCTTTATAACCCAACACATCTGGGTGCAGACTGGTAGAGAATGATGTAGTCCAAAAATAGAGGGATGCACATCATTGTAGAAAACTCTAAAGGGAAAACAAAGAAGGCAAAATGTGTTGGGAACTTCATTAAGGCAATAGTCTGAATACATTTTCTGCTGCAGCTCCCATCATGGTGATCCAAACCTTTTGTTTCCACAGTGCCGAGAAACTATTCCAGTATTCCGTGCTTTCTTGAAGAGACATGATCGGACGGTTGTTACCACCATGAGAAGGTAACTTCATAAGGGAAGGATGGTCATAGCCCTGGGAGCAACACATTGGCACATGTCTTCTTTTATTAAATATTTAAATATATATTTTGTGAGGCTGCATTCTGACTTAAAGAGGGAGTCCTAGTAAATAAGGAAAAAAGCAAAGTTAGGCTGAACCAAATAATGCTTTTCAGAAAATTGGTTCAGGAGCATTCATCCAGGACTGGATTAATCTATAAAGTTCTAGAAAGAGAAAGACCCAGAACTTTCTTGATCTGCCTCTGTCAGCCATAATCCTTTGACTGAACTGGAACAATTTGCAAAGGAAGTCCAGGTAGCCAGAGTACTGCCAGCCCTTCAGCCATGTTTTCTTCATAGGATAACATTAGCACAGTACATTCTCTTTTTTTTTTTGTCTAGAAAATGCAAACTATTCATTTGCCTTGGCAAATTTGTATATTTGCTTCCATATACGAGGAAAGGAAACGTTCTATGAATGCATAGACGGTAGGAGCAGAAGCACTACTAATTTCTTTCCATTTCATATTCTTATTTTCTCTGGACTGCAAAAAACAATTTTAACTCTAGGTTTTGGCTCATAGTTGAATGAACATAAATACCAGCTTCTTCCTTCCTTCTTTCTTTTTCTTTCATTGGATACCTTGCCCAATGTATTTTGGGAGTGTCCCACACCCAGGAAGGAAAGGAAATGATAAGTGGGTAGGTAGCTGATATGATAGTTTGGCCTATTGGCTAAACAAACTACACATCTGGTGCTGAGGTCTTTTAAAATTGTGATGATGGCAGCATTGACATTAGAGCAATCTTCTTTGTAAAGTAAAATAGAGTAATCTATCAAGCATGCAGATCATAGCAGTTTATAGAAAAGATTTTAAAGCAGTTAAGTTACTTAAAGAGTTAGTTGACACTAAAATTTAAGTTTCTTTGCAAATTATTTTGATTGTGCTTATTTATCGTTTTTCTAATCAATGCATTAAATGTATATGTTGGCTGTGTAGCTTACAGGAACTTCTGCTCTGCCCTTCTAAAAGAGTCAAAGAATACATCACTCTCCTCTATGCTCTTAGACTTCACACTCCTCAAGAACATACTGACCACGAAGACTTGGCCACTGCAATTAAACAAATGAAACAACTCAAAGATTATATAGACCAGGTCTGTCTTCTACATTTGCTTCAGCATGATGATTATTTTGCACTCTTTTGGATGAATGGGATTTATTGCATGCTACACAGAATATCCTCTAGTTTAATTATCCCAATTGGGATTATGAAATAGGGGTTCCTCCTCCTTTAATGCAATGGGATTTGTGGTTTCAGTCACATTCTGGAACTGCTGTTAGTTGCAAAAGGAAAAACAGAAACACAAAATAACTATAGGATATTTCCTCTGCGGCTAATAGGAAGTCAAACTAGCAAACTGGGCTGGGGAATTCCAGTCACAGCTGTTCAGTTTTACATCTTTGTATATTTTTCCAGATATGCTCACAACTCAAGTTTAGACAGACAGTAACTAGAGAATTTATTTTTCAAGCAGTGGTAAGAGCCAGCAAAATTCCTATCACAGGGAGAATTACCTAGTACCAACTTGATTATTCTTCAGAATTCTCCAACCCATTAAATCGATTGCAGACCAGGTTTATCTCTCTGTTAACGGCTGATCTGTCACAATGCCTGACTATGGGGAATATTCTTGTACTGCTGGATTTGGAATGATCTAAAATGGTTACTTTCTCACTTAAATTTGTGGTTAAATTGCTCTATGAGACATAAAATTAAAACCTGTTCATTATGTCTTCTGACTGCTATCTGCTGTTCATGAACAGTATGTGCTTCTTTGTCCTACAGGGCGGCCTTCACGATCTTTTCATTTTTTTATTGTACATAAGTATCACTCTTTCTTAAATTGTTGGATTTGGGGTAGGCCTTAGGATACTTGGAGAGATGCCATTGGTATGGGGGCCAATCTAAAGTCTAGCAGGTAATCTGCTAGTGAGATTTATACAGTTTTTTATTGGCATTTGGATTGTCACTTTGATGATGCAATTTTTGGTTTATATGTTGTTGGGGTTTTTTGATATGCATACCACTGTTTCCTCTGCTGATAAGAATATCTTTTTCTCTTGTGAATTTGATTCTGTTAAAGATGTTATTGATTGTGTTGCGTTTTTCAAGTAACCTTTTTTATTATGACAAGTATTTTGTTACACTTAACAGATTTTGCATTTTGGATTGTATGTGTGGGAGGGCAATTGCTTCCAGATATTGCATGATTGTTTTGTTTTGTTTTTTTGCTATGAATCCGGAGATAGGTGATTTCCATAAGGGTTCCTCTGATTAGTTTGTTCTGTCCATCAGAATGAAAGCTAGTCTAGAGGCAAAGATCTTTAGGTTTCATGATTATATTTATTAAATGTTTATATACTTGGCAAGGTTTGGTACTTTATATAATAAGGCTTGAATGGCTGATTTTGGATGCATAGATGTGTAGGGTGTTCTGCCATGAAATGAAGTAATAATTTCATCTTTCTCAATTGTTACACCTTAGATTTTCTGAAGACCCTGCAATGGTGAATTAATTGTATGTTTATTCCTATTTATGCAATTTCCAATTTTGGGGGTGAGTCCTAAGTTGTATGTTGTGGTTTCAGGTAGTAATACAGTTAGATAGCTGATATGTTTCATTTGCCTATTTTGGGAGCATCTATTAAAACAAAAGACAATGGACCCACAACTTTTCATATGCTATTCTTCTTTTTTTAAGCTGTCCTCTGTTACTTATGTCATTGGGTTGCTTTCGAGTCTCTCTTAGGTTTGTATATTTGTACTCTGTAATATATTTATGATTGCACGATAAATGGAACAAATGTGCAAATGCTCAGTTGTCCATCTGGTACACTTTCATCATACAACTTTTAATTTTTACTTGGAGAGTCTACCCTATAAGACATAAATCATCAGAACTTGTCTGAAGGCAGTCTGTTCCCACAAAAGGCTACTTAGGCGTTTTAAATTTATGCAAAGGTTTTCAGACAGGTGACTCTTTATATGAATATTGAAATGAGGGAAATTACATTTTCTTGGCAGACAATAATTTGAGCTGATCCATTTCAGAAGGTAATGTTTTGAGGGATTATAAAATAGATTCTCAAAATTTAATCCAAACATACATAACCGATACACTGTGCTAATTTTGACTTCATTTTTTAAAAAAAATTGACTTCATTTTTTTTAAAAAAATAACATACAGTTGTTTCATTTGTTTTTTAAAGAATATCTTCTTTTTTTATAATATTTTATTAGTTTTCTAATTTTACAATTAAGTATTTAAAAAGCAACATGGTGACTGGGTTAATCAATAGTTCAATAACATACATTTAGTATGTACATTTAGTACAAATCTCAAGTTATATCATCAGATATTTCCTCTCTTTTTCCCTATTATATCATATTAGGTTAATACAGTTCTTATTATTATCAACTAAGTAAAAACATTCTTATTACATTTATCAATAATTTTTAGCTATGCATATCTTAACTGTGTTTACATTCAATCCTTATATACAATCAATGTCCTGTTATTGCTTTTTTCCCAAGCTTTAATTTCCCATCAATATTCAAATTAACATTTGATATTTATAATTTCCAAGCTTTAGGTAACCAAAGTTTTCCTTATTTCAAATTCTTTCTTTTCCCCTTTTCATAACAAAATCTAATATTCTAAGTACACATCTTATCTATTTGAGTATAGTCTTGTTCTGTTTTCTAAAAGTTATCTATTTTGCACCACATTAAACCATCTAATTAATAATACAGTATCTCCTCTAATAAATCAAAACCATTATATGTATTGTCTGAGGTAACCAATAAATCAATAGTATACATAGTTTTTTTTCTTTTAGGCCTAAATTTTTAAAAGTTCAAATACTCCTTCTCTTTTTCTGGTAACCTCTATTATCTCATATTAGGCAAACAGAATTCTTATTTTCAACTGATTTCCAAATATTTTAAAATAGGCAACCAAAATTTCCCTTATCTCAACTTCTCCCTTTTCCCCCTTTCATACCAAAGCCTATTAGTCTTGTTACATATCTTAGCTATTCAATTATAATGTTACTTTATTTTCTAAAAATTATCTATTTTCCACCATAATCAACCCTCTAATTAGTAATATGAAATCTAATAAATCAAAACCCTACTTTTCTTCAGCCTTACTTTGGCTTTCTTCCTTTGCCAACTAGCCTTCCATGTCAGTGCTTTTAAATCATCAAATAGTTCTCCCTCTATTATCATATATATTATTTGAAATAAGAAAGACTGTTTGGTTGCAGGTTTTTTTGGAAGAACAAGCCCATTTGTATTCATTAGGTTCCTCCCTATTACTCCAATTTCCCACAATTGTTCTGATAGGTTTATCTTCCATTCAATCTGTTCTTCTTCCTTCTCAAATTTCTTCTGATTTATGTAAAAAGTCTTCTCCATTTTCAGTGTTGTCACTCCCTTTTCTGATTTTTCCATTGGCTGGGTCTGTTGGTCAATTGAGTCTTCTGTCTTAGTGTTTAGTTGTTCCACTTCTCCTGTTATTTTCTGCATTGTTAGTTCTTTAGTTGTAGTCCAGATCTCAGTTTGTATATCTAAGCTGGCATCTTGTTCCTTTATGTTGCATCTTATTTTGTCACAAGTTGAAAGAATGGTTTTGTGTATTGATTTCAACATGGAAAGGATTTTTTCCTGATCTTCATCCATAATCTCTCGATAGTGTATTAAGCTGAAGACCTTAGAATCAAACGTTAAAAATAGTTTTTTGTTTTTATAACTGGGTATAGGACATCTATTTCACATGTTATAGGTGGTCTTTATAGTGGAAATTATTTGTCAAGTAAGAATTTATAGTCCAAGATATTCCAGCATCTCGTGTAATAACAAATGCTTCTCACGTAGAGAAACAGGAAAGCAATTCCTACGTACAGCTCTGAAAGTCAGTAAAGGTTTATATTCATAGTTCAAACAGGTCAGCTATGCCACCCAAAATTCCTTCTTTGCAGCTGAGTTTTTCACAAGTGGTATCTATCAAGGTCAGAAAAGTTTTTTCTAGACTCTGGGCTTCAAGCCAAGTCTCTTTTAGGCAATAACAAGTTGTAATACCATACTTTGCCACAAGATGTCACTGATGCCATTTAAAGCTTTTTAAGTCCAAAGTTGTTATGATAGTTTTTCAAGATTTATTTCTTTTTTTAAGATAAAAACAAATGTCTCCAGTAAGAATAGGAAAACTTTTAGCCCCCAAGTTTCAAAAGCATATACATCCAATTAGATTAAAATTGTTCTTATAGTTGTTCCCCTGGGTAGGTAGTCGCTGCTTTTCTTAGAGGATGGAGTAGAAATTCCCTTCCCTCTCTCCACACAGGGGGAAAAATACTTTGGGCAGCTTTTAAAGGAAAAGATACTTAAAGTCTCAAAGAGAAGATCAGATCTCACCCAGTTTCAGCTGCGTTGCTTTAAAGGTGCATGATGGTGGTTTTGACTTCGGCTGTCAGCGGCTTAGTGATGAGCCATATTGCTATGGCTGGTCTTTCTCCTGCTGGTTTGGAGAGTTGCCCTGGATCAAACAGAAGGGCTGCCACCCTCCCACAATCAAGCAAGGGTCCCCTCCTTGCTTGTCGCCCCTACAGGGCGACCTTCGACCTTTTCCAGGGTCCCACAGCAGGACGAATTCAGACACAGAAGACGGAGCTTGTCTTCCTGCGTCCGCAGACGCCATGATGGCAAACCAGAAGTCCAAGAATATCTTCTTGATTAGCATAGCCCTCTCAAGAGATCCTTGCAATAACTTAATTCCCATATATTAAATTTTCTAGTTGAAACTGAATGTGGGCAGAAATGATCAACTATTGAGTGTGCAACGGTGTATCCAAGGAGGACCTGTAAGTAATCAGCTTTGTTTATATGAACCAAAATGCCCAACAAGTGCAGGACATTTATTTGTGATAATTGCAGAAGATGTTTCCATAGGATGAGTTTTGTGTGTTCAACAATAAATGACAAAGATAAAACCAATTGACCTAGTCAAAGAAATATATTTTGATAGAATGATAAAGAAAAGTAAATGCCTTCTATGAATGGGGAAGTTGATTGGAAAAGTATTAAAAGTGCAAAATGGGAATGTGTCAAATACAAGACAGTGTGTACAATAAAACCATGAAAATAAAAATTATAGCAAGTAAAACACAATGGCTGACTTATTAGATTTGACTAGGCTAAAATCCCATTCAAGCAAAGAGCTATGTTATTCTATAGTAATTAGTGTCCTTGACTAGGAATAAGTATTCTAAGTCTAATACTAATTCTATAGTATTTGACTCATGTTCAAAGGCAGCTCCATGTTGAGCTCATTGTGATAGCCCAGCTGCAAGGTGGATTGGGTTTAAGTTACTGTTGCCAGTTCATTGTGGTAGGTAAACTACAACTATTGTGCCAGCAAAACTGAGGAATAGGTCCCCAGGCCACAGCCTCTACATCAGGGGTGTCAAACTGCCGGCCCGCAGGCCGGTTTCATCATACCGGAGCCGTGTTCACCCCATTGCCAGCAATGGCAAAAAAGCTCCGATATGTCGTGCGATGTCACGTGATGTCACGAGTTTGACATGCCTGCTCTACATGCTGATTTAGCAGGAATTGTTAACCCAGAAGTTCCTTTCCCAACTCAAGGATTAACCTATTCTGGGAGATTATGATCCTAGCAATAAACACAAGCAAATATCTATTGCCATGGTTTGGATGTTGTTAGTTTGTTTGAGTTTGTTTCTCCCTATTTCAGACCCTAATTATCTCCAGAAGCCGGTACCACTTGACTTGGAAATTGGAATATACTGTATGAGACAGCCCATGGATGGTTGGATTGATGTATTGATTTATTGCCCATGGATCAGATGTTGGATCCCTCACTGTAACCATCCATTGGTGAATCAGAAGCAGCCATTTATGTATTTATTGGAGTGTTGTTGATATGTTTTTAAATTGCTGTTTGACACCTACAATCATGATGTTGAAATGGGTGACCATACAGATTGAAACAAGAAATAGAGTAGGCAAAGAATATTGCTCAATATGTCAGAAAGTACTTTCAATGTTTAAACATTTTAGAAGTCTGTGATTTATAAATCTTGCAATTAAATGCATAATAGCTAAAACATAATGAATCAATTTGGTAACAATAATTTTTAATGTTCTAATTCACAGCAGTTATTGAAAGCCAGTAGATATCTAATTATGGCTCAAGATGTGGCCCAGCTAAACTGTTCTCATAGAACGAATTTGCAATTCAGGTAAATGCATCAGTAAAAATATTAAGGTTAATATAAACAAAATGAGGTCTAGCATTATAGAAGTGTTCCACTGTTTGTTCTTAAAGGTTTTCTTCTTTCTAAATAGAGACCATGAAGATAATAAATGCTAAATGTATTGAATTATTTATTGGGTAAATAATGTGTTACGTTGCATACTTTCCTTGTTAGAGCGCAATGAATCTTTTTTTTTAAAGAAAAAGAAAAATACAAATATAAACATAAACACAAGTATATAAACACAGTTATAAAACCCTACAGTATATCTCTGGGTAGTTTTGAGATTGCTTATCCATAGAGATTCTGCCCACCCAATTCAAGGGCACAAAGAGTGCCTACACCAATAACTGAAGGTTCCCATCCTCAAGGGATCTGAAAGTGGGTATTCTCTTCAGGGACTCCCCTATTCTGGAGCAGCTTGGTCCCCAATGCAAGGGTAGCTTCCCTTCCCCTGTCCTTCTGGAGGCTCATAGGAATTTGGCAGATATGAAAATCCTTGGGACTTAAGAACCTCCTATTGCTAGAAATATTAATCCTAATTTTAAATCTACTTTTTTATTGCATTTTTCTTATTGTATGTTACTATTACCAATGCATTAGCTGCAGTTGTCAAGCCCAAGGCCCGGGGGCCAGATGCGGCCCGCGAAGTGGTTTCATGTGGCCCGCGAAGTCATCCTGGAAACAGTGAGGAAATAGCCCCTGCTGCCTTGGTCCTGGCTCAGGCCGGCCGGGAGCCAATGTACAATTTTGTGGTGGCCATCTATGCTGAAATGCATTCAGTCTTAGCTCCACAAGGCCGTCTAGAAACAGCGAGGAACCAGCCCCTGCTATGTCGGCCCTGCCCTGGGTGCATGCTGGGAAGGTGTCACCTTTTGTGAGGAATGAAGAAATGGACCATGCCTTGGTGCTTGCCCCGGTCCCACCCCCTTCTGCCAGAGACCCTCAGATCCTGCCCAGGCTCCCATAGGAACCCTTGACACAAACAATGTAGACTAGCCATGCCCATCCAGTAGGCAACACCCACTCCATCCACACCCACCCAATAGGCCACACCCACCCAGCCCGCCAAGGGCAACCATAATGCTGATGCATCCCTTAATGGAATTGAGTTTGACACCCCTGGCTTAGAGTAATCTTGACTGATATGGTTTACAAATTTATAAATAAAAAGATTTTAAAAAAATAAATACAGGGCAACGGTTAACAGTGATATAATTATATCATTGGGCAAAACCATACGTGTGCCGCTAACATTCCAAAAATATACAACAAATCAGCCTTTTTAATGAGATCCTTGCTGAGCTTTGAGCAGTTAGGGAAATATTTCATGCGTATTGGATGAAACTTGTTAACTTCTGTATTTTATTGTAGTAATCCAAAAATTTTGTGTTTTGTGTTGTCTTATACTTTTTAAGGTATATAGACTTTTTTTTGTTTAGTACACTTTTATAAACATTCACTATAATGCATTTTAAAAAAATGTTTACTGCATTTGAATGTTCTCCCGTGGCAGTTAAATTATTTATAAATTATATTAACATGGATAACAAAACTAATCCTTCAATTCAATCCTTCAGGTTGTATGAGCATACCCACGATCTTAGACTTTTCCTGTTCAATGATGTCCTTGTTATTTCACAACGCAACATCTCCTACAAGCCCTTTGAACAAATTCCTAAGGTCACTTACCAGTTTTTGGCTACAATAATGCTCCATCAGCTCCAGATTGAAGATATTCCAGATTCTAAATGTATGCTTTTCATTACTCTAAAATAGTAAAAAAAATGTTGAATGCATTCATAGACATTTTTTAAAAATATATATTTTTAATGAAATAATACATTCTCAGAATCAAACTATGTGATACCTGTGTATCTGGCAACTTCCTGCAATTTTCTTGACAAGATTTTCAAATGCGCTTTGCCCTTGTCTTCTTTATAGGGTTGAGAAAGAGGGGCTGGCTCAGGTTTGCATAGCTGGCTTCCTACCTAAGGAGGAATTAAAATTCCCAGTCTTCTAGTTTCAGGTCTGATGCCTTAACCACTGTACCAAACTGGCTCACTTTTCTTTATTACATACAACATTGCTTTTGAAAGTAGGCTTGTTCTGACTTGAGCATTTAGGAAAGAAAGACCCTTGACTCAATTTTGAAGAGAAAGGTTTGCTTTTACCAAAGTCAAGTGGTTACAGCAGAAGCAAAGCTGGACCTGAATATCCCCACACAAAGCCTGCATTTTCCCCTCTTCCCTGACCCTCCTGTTTTGACCAGTCCATCAGTGTCCAATGATATTCGAACTAGATATTTTGGGAACGCCTTTGAGGTTTGGCACTTTTTTGGTGGAGTTTTGCATTCCGTCCTCACAGCTCCGTCCTTGATTGGCCAGTCTGTTCCAGACTGACACCTATGGTTCCTGCCACCCTACCATTTCCCCACCTACCTCCCCAAGCTCGCCTTTCGCTGCATTTTATGACAGAATGCCAGCGAAGCGGAGCATACTGAAGATGGCAGAACCTGACATTTTTGCAGTGTGTTTTTTTTTTTTTTATGTAGCAGGAGAAGCTCTGTTTTAATGATCTCCAGCCCACTTGCCCAATGGGGGTGCAATTTCTGAAGTGTATTTGCTCACCTAAGAAACAAATTGGGAATTTGAGCCTCAGTTGAAGGTGGCAGTCTGCTTGAAGTTCCACACCCTTGTCTGCATGTCTGACGTTGATGCAGATACAAAACGGGTGGGACTTTGGTGATGCTTTCATGATAACCATCTTGACTTGAGTTTCATCACATCCTCCCCCCCCTTCCCCAGATACTGCTGATTGAGACTTAGGGTGGTGTTTTTTTGGTCAGCGAACAATGGAGCTGGCAGGAGATGCTTAATTCCCACTTCCTTGAAAGACAGGATCCATGGATTGCAAAAGCTATGCCCTTTAGGAAAGGGAAGACAGTATTTTGAGTGGATAAAAATAGTAATGTTCTGTTATGTTCATGAGGATGCAATATAAAAGAGCAGAGGTATTCTGTAACTCTCCTTGTGAAAAGCTTTTTGGGGAAAAAAATGGGACCGGATTTTCTGCTTTACTTCAGATGCCTTTTGTTTGGCTTCTCCATCAGCTGTGTATGGATAGTCCTTAATTTACAAGCAATTTACAGTTGCTTAGTGACCATTTTAAAGTTAAGTTACAAAGGCAATGAAGAAAAATGACGTATAACCAGTCCTCGCACTTATGACCATTGTACATCCCCATAGTTGCGTGATCAAAATACGGGTGCTTGGCAACTGCCATGTATTTACAATTGTTGCGTCACCTTGGACTGATGTAAATTTCAACCTTCTCAGCCACTTTCCAACAAGCAAAGTCAATGGAAGAAGCCAGATTTGCTTAACAACCATGTGATTCACTTAACAACTGCAGTGATTTGTTTAACAACGGTGGCCAAAAAAGGTTGTAAAATCTGGTACAGCTGACTTCACTACCACCTTGCTTAGCTACAGAAATTCTGGTCCAGTTGTGACTCTTAAGTCGAGGACTACCTATAACAGAATATTCTCTCGTCAGTGTACAGGTAGTCCTCGACGTATAACAGTTCATTTAGTGACCATTCAAAGTTACAACAGCACTGAAAAAAATGATTTATGACTGTATTTCACACTTATGACCATTGCAGCATTCCCATGGTGGTCAGGTGATCAAAATTCAGATCAAGTTGGCAACTGACTCCTATTTATGACGGTGGCAGTGTCCCAGGGTCACCTTTTATGACCTTCTGACAAGGAAAGTCAATGGGGAGGCCAGGGTCACTTAAGAACTGTGTTAGTAATTTAACAACTGCAGTGGTTCACTTAACAACTGTGGCAAGAAAGTTAAAAGGGGGCAAAACTCAAGAAATGTCTCCCTTAGTAACAGAAATTTTGAGCTCAACTGTGGTCTAAGTCGAGGACTACCTGTAGTTGATGGGAAGAGCTGTTAGTATGTAGTTTTTAGGAATTTCAGTTCCCTCGCCTTTCTCTTACTGTGACTGTTGTTTTTCTTTTCCCTATTGATGTAGGAGAGAGAAAATATCCAAACATTTTCACTCTGAATCTGCTGTAAGTCTCAGCATTTGCTGCTGGGGTGGCAGATTTATCAAAATGAGCGTATAACATTGGAATGGATGCTAAATCATATCCAAATCCCTCAAGGTTTTATTTGAAATTCTGGAAGTCCATTTAGAATACAAACTAGCATGTGTACTCAGACACAAAGAAAGAACGGAACAATACAAATCAAACTGATGGTAGTTAAAAACAACTGGTCAGTAATGTAATGAATGCATTCATTATCCTCGTTCTGGTTCCCTTAGGTTAGGATATATAAGTCATTGACTGAGATGGGTGGCTATAGAAATTGAAGAAAGAAAGAAAAAGAAAGAAAGAGAGAGAGAGAGAGAGAGAGAAGAAAAAAAGAAAAAAGAGAGAAACAAAGAAAGGAAGGGAGGAAGATAAAAAGAAAGAGAGAAAAACAGAAAGGAAGAGAAAGAGAGAGAGAGAGAGAGAGAGAGAGAAAGAAAGAAAGAAAGAAAGAAAGAAAGAAAGAAAGAAAGAAAATTTGGCTCAAGGATAAAAGCCTGAGCCTTTTATAAATTTGCACACTGTAGGCAAAGTAATTTGACCAAAAATATTCCAGTGAAAGCAAAAATATTTGTATCAAATATACCTAAAGATGGATCTATCCTGACTACATTTTAGAAGTAGAGCCAGAATTAAGCCAAACATCTAGAAGTCAATAACCACATAGTAATCCTTACTAAAGATATCAAACTAAGTTAGACTTAAGCTGAACACTTAAAATTTAACAATTGGCAAGTTGTCCTGCAGCGAATTGGCCACAGCGAATTGGCCTAGTCCCAACCTGACAGTGTGACTCAAAAATCATATGGAATTTATGTAATCCATTTAGAATTCAAATATCTTGGACGATGACTGGAAAAAAAATTTAGAAGGGTTTTATTGGACTGAGATTTATAAAACCTTAAAGCTTCTTGTAACAGTCTTTACCACTTTGGAGGGGAAATTGTCATTTCTAAAAATAGAGAGTAGGTTGAAGGGTATTCAGTTGGCAAGAGACCTTAAGGTTGTGGTCCTATACAGAAGCAAGGAAGGCAATTGTTTTGTAAGCTGCACCCAGTTTTACAACCCTTTTTTGCATGCTGAAGCAAATCACTGCAGTTGTTAAGTGAATCATACAGTCATTAAGTGAATCTGGAGTTCTCCTCTTAACTTTGCTTGTCAGAAGCTGGCTGGGAAGGCAGCAAATAGCAGAATGACCCCAGGATGCTGCAACCTTCCTAAATCCAGGCCAATTGCCAAGTAACTGAATTCTGATCATTTCATTGTGGGGATGCTGCAGTGATCCTAGGTGTGAAGACTAATCGTGGTAACTCTCTTTTTATAGTGCCTGTAACTTTGAATAGTCACTAAATGAATGATTGTAAATCAGGGACTACTATATATCAAGATGGCATACTGGGCCTTTTTTTTTTTGCTCTAAAACAAATAGATCATTGACTCCAATCATTAACAGTTCACAAAAACAAAACAAAAAAAACCAAAGCAAAACATTGGATGGAAAGCCCCCTCACTTTGGCAGACGTGTTTCCTGTTGAGCCAGTATTTGTAGATTAGAGTAGCTACTTCTGCAGTCAGGATATGTCAGGACAGGTCCAGAACTGCCTTTAATGGGAAGCTGAGAAAGCTATTGGTACTTTCCTTGATCCTTCATATGCACCCTTACTATCCTTCAACCAGTTCAAATTGGAATTCCCTTTAAAGCAGTGGTTCTCAACCTGTGGGTTGGGACCCCATTTGGGGGTCGAACGACCATTTCACGGGGGTCACCAAACAACGCAGTCCGCCATTTTCTCCCCCTTTTCCTTAGCTGTGCTACTCCCTTTTATTCTATTGGCTTTTGAAAGCCCATAGAATAGACTCTCTTGAATAGAGTCTAATTCTATTGGCTTTCAAAAGCCAATAGGAATTGTCCAGGCTGTCTCTGCCCTGCTGAGCCCACCAAAAGTCCCATTCTGCAAACGGTGCTGCACCAGTTGAGTAGACCTCGACTTACGACCGGTTGGGGGTCGCGGCATTAAAAAGATTAAGAACCACTGCTTTAAAGCCAGATAAACAGCATCTGACTCCAGACAGTTCATCATAAAGGAAGTACATTTCTGCTTTTTAGTTTCCTAAGTCATTTCCTTTAGATGATTAAGTACACCCACCTGTGATCTCACCTCTAGACAAGCCAGTTTGGTATAGCGGTTAAGGTATTGGTCTATAAACTGGGAGACCGAGTTCTAATCCTGCCTTAGGCACAAAATTAGCTGGGTGACATTGTGCCAAACACACCTTCTGCACCTTAGGAAGAAGGAAAAGGCAAACCAAAAATCTTGCCAAGAATACTGAGGGGACTAGTTCAGTTACAACTGACGTATGGGCATGCATACGTGCGCGCATATGCACACTAAAAATCCTCACCTTTCAGTTATTAATTTTTGGAGTAGTGCATCCCAGGGAAAATATAATTCACTTTTAAAAATGTTCCTAAAATGAGAAGCATTTGGGAGCACTATTTATAATTTAAATATTTCTTATTGGAGGTGTGGAAGAATGGGAAAAAATAGGATTTCACTTTAGTCTTACATTTAATTATTACCGGCGATAGGTCAGTTTGGACAAACTTCCTATGCATCTTGGAAAGATACAGATAAGACAAGTCTTTTACCTAGCTCTAACAACATGAGGATCTCATTCTCCTAATGAACCTCACAGGAAGGCTGAAACTATATATGGGTCAATACATGGCATGGGCCAGGTCATATGCAGAACCGCCTCTGAAGATATCTGAGGATTTCTTCCTGTGCCGCCAGGTCAGATATAATCAGTGCTCCAGTTCCCTTCCCTTAAATGTTATCTAGTACAGAGGTGTCAAACTGCCAGCCCGCGGGCCAGACATGTCATGTGGAAGCCGCGCCCACCTCATTGCCAGCAATGGCAAAACTCGAGTTTGACATGTCTGATCTAGACAGTGATGGCGAACCTTTTAGAGACCGAGTGCCCAAATTGCAACCCAAAACCCACTTATGCATTGTTGGGTGCCAGGTGGGTGTGGCCCATTGGCTGGGTGTGGCCCATTAGGTGGGCGTGGCTGCGGTGGTAACGGCAGACTGAGTGGGACTAAAAAGTTCAATCAATCAATTCCAACTTTGCAAGATCTTTTTTTTTTCCTGTGAGAAGTTGAAATTGACTGAACCTTTTTTTTTTTTTTTTTGCACATGGCGGCGGAGGCCTAAAGCAAAAAGCTTTTATAAAACCCAGCTGAAGGCCTAGGACTAGGGTGACGGCATGCGTGCCCACAGAGAGGGCTCTGAGTGCCGCCTCTGGCACCCGTGCCATAGGTTCGCCACCACTATAGTAGGACCTCGGAAGTCGGTCTCCTCAGCAGAGCCTTTTAGTCTTCCAAAAGGCCTTGAAAGGCTCAACATAGGGGAAAACTGGAGCTCACCGATTGCAATCATTTATGTATTGGGGAGTATTGTTTTGGGATAAATTGTGTATTTCTGGCGGCTAGCTTATGTCTTCTATGTTTTGTTGAAAGCTGCTCAGAGTTATGACAGATAAGGTAGGCAGCCATATAAATCTCTTAATACATTCATACAGGTTGGAATTTTCAGACATTCTATGCAAGGATGCCTGTAATGTCTTCTTATGACAAATCTAGGTTTAGCTAGGCAGCCAATTTTTAATTCATTTCACAATAACCACTTTACGAACACTGAACAAGTAATGCTTACGCTATCATGAGAATTTTTTTGCAATGTATGTCTATTTTAATTTTTAACTGCTGCACATGTTGACTTAAGAAACATTCTTAAGGAATCTAAATTAATGACAATTTTTGTTTGCTTATTTTCAGATATCAAGAATGCTTTTCTTTTACAAGGGCCCCGACATCAGTGGATTTGTTCTACAGATGAAGACAAGTTTGTATGGTTTTCTGCATTACAAAAAGCAATTCACTGTAGTATCAGTCAGGATGTAAACTGAATAAGGCAATGTAGTGACTCAAGTTGGGACTGACAACTTGGTCATTAAGTGAAGCAGTTGCTAAGTGAAACCCATGTCTGTGTTTATGATCTTATTTGAGTTTTCCTGTTTTATATACCTACAAGGGTTGTAAATGTGACAATTGGTCACAGTTTTCAATCCTGTTATAACTGCAAATGTTTGCGTATGAGGCATTTGCTAAATGAGGACTGCCTGTATACTTTCCATGTATTTTTCTCATGATCTAATGACATGGTGGATGTGACCATTAACTGCAATAACTTTTTTATTATAAGCAAATTTAGTGTGAAATAAATATATATAATGATTTATGACAGGAGGTTGTGGTTGAGTCATAGGTTATGAACGTGGTTATTAAAATAACACATCAGAAGTTTTTTTTAAGTTTTTCCTTATCACCAATAAGATACATCTTGGCTGATTTTGGACTTTACTTATGCAGTCAAAATTTTATATGTGAAAATTTCAATTTTGCAGTAGAAATTGTTTCAAACACTATCCCTATGCTCTCATCCATATCTTGCACAAGTACTGGATAGGCATCTGCCACTTATACTGATTAATGCTGGAGGAAATCTACAAACTAAATATTGTGTAAGATCTGGAATCTTTGGATTTGAATATGGAATGTCAGGATTGAGCATAAGGCAGGCGCACATTATATCCAAGTCCTCATGAGCTTCAAAATAAATTTGTGAAAATAAAGTGGTTTTGTTTCAATGACTGAATATAAGGGATATAACTACCTTTCTAGACCTTTCATATGTTTAGTAAAATAATAAATTATATTGCTATGACCTGATATTGTTTATGCTATACAATATGTAGAAAAAGACTGGTGAACCATTAATGTAACTGCATGATGCATTATATTTTATTCTGAATATATTATTTTGCATGTGCAGTGAATACTTTTTATGATTTTTTTGCTTCTTCCTAAATGTTTGATATTTTCTACTAAAAAGTTTGTTTCCAATTTTTATTAGTGAATATATGACTATCAGTAGCATATAGTGATCTTAAAGACTAGTAGAAATTCTGCAACCAGACTTAGTCTGGTTCACACAGAATGCTAAACATATCTTTTTTATTTTATTTTATCCTATCATAATGTATGAACTCACCCAGTTCTAGCCTTAACTGACTCCGTATTCAGTAAAAAAAAAATGTACAAAAGTCAATTGTTTTCTGTTATTGAGCCAAATTAAAAGAATTAACTCCAATTAAAATATTGTGCTGTTTTATTGTTGTAAAAATCACACAGTTGCTAGTTCTGATTCTGCTGAGATACTTCCATGCATTTTAACATCTATGTTCCCACAGCCAGAATAAGCCATTAAATAGAATATCTGCTGTTAGTCAGCATTAATGCAAATTTACATATGAGATCAAAAGGGTGTGTATTATACAATATACAACAAATCCTAATACAGTACATCAACCTGAATAGCAGGATACACTCAGGAAATTTTGTGTTAATAACAAAGCCTGTCTACAAGCAGAAAAATAATGCCTGCAGACATGAACAGAAATAAGAACCCAACTTTTTAAGAAACACAACTCGGGTGTGGGGGGTGTGGGTGAGGAGTAGAGGGGGAAGACTGGGAAAGAGTTGAGGTACTGACACATTTCTTGACCACAAAGAGTGTTACAGTAACGTTTGGTGGATGTGTCAGTTTGTAAAGGATAATGTGCAAAGCATGCAACTATATGTGGTGTTCAGGAAAAGTGCATGACTGAGACCAACACCCGATCCTTTCACAGAAGAGAAACACTTGTGGGCAGACTGCAAAATGACATCATGAATGCAAACATTTTAACAATAGTCAAGCTGTGGTCACACGCGCAGTATATCAACAGGCAAGGACAACAGAATTTGGTATGGCAAAGTATAAAAGAATATAGGCTGGACTTGGAAGATATTGGGTTACTCAAAAAGAATAGGCTTCTGAAATTACTAATGATTTGCAAGACTGCAAACTCTGATTTGGGGATCAGTGATGACCACAGCTGGCTAATTTCCATTTACACAGTAAGACAGATGTGTAAAAGGTATTTATGATAAATATATGTGCTTCTGTGATAAAGGTAGCTTTTGGGATGCTTTTATTTATGATGCTTTGACGTGAAATATAGAAAATTCATTCAGTATTCAGTTCCAGTTTGGGATATAGGCCACTTAAGTTGTATAAATCTGGTTCCAACTTAAAAATTGTGTCCTCCCAAGAAAATGGGAAAATTGGCAGTGCCAATATAGTGAACATTCAAGGAAACACTTATTTCATTCTTTGTATTAAAATTATAAAAAGTTACTTAAATACAGCTGTGGACAGAGGACATATCAATCACAACAAAAATGTTAAGAGTGCACTGAGTGAAACATGTGGGATTTTAATTAGGCCTTTTACCCAATTTTCTGTTTCAGAGTTAATTATTTCACAGTTAATGGCAACTGGTTTATAAGTGAGAGAAGGGCCGAAGCTGTTCCAGTTGAACCTCCAGTGAAATTCTCTCCTCCAGGACATCCTAGAAAGGAGAAATTTGCCATTTAGATACCACAATGAAAGTGCATTACCACATATGCATGCACATGCATGCACAATTATACATATTTTGCTGGTTTTATGCAGAGAAACGTGTTTATGCAAATAATATAAGACAGTGAAGTTAGACACAACTTTTACTTCAGTATGCAAAATTTCTGCCTAAAAAGTGTTCTTTATATTTTTCTTAAAAACATAGCATCAGTCAGCAATTACGTTCAATAATCTTGTTTAGGGAGGAACACTTGTGGTTTCTTTGCAAGAGAAAAAGTAAATCAATACAGAAATACTGAAACAAACTGTTTCAACAAAACTATTTTACATTTAGTGAATAGAACAGAATCTGGAAGGGACCTTGGAGGTCTTCTAGTCCAGCCCCTTGCTCAAGCAGGAGAACCGATACCATTTCAGACAAGTGACTGTCTAATCTCTTCTTAAAAATCTCCAGTGATGGAGCGCCCACAATTTCTGAAGGCAAGCTGTTCCACTGGTTAATTTTCCTCATTGTTAGGAACTTTCTCCTTAATTCCAGGTTGCTTCTCTCCTTAACCAGTTTCCAACCATTGTTTCTTATCTTGCCCTCTGGTGCTTCGGAAAATAGTTTGACACCCTCTTCTTTGTGGCAGCCCCTCAAATACCGGAATACTGCTATCATGTTGCCCCTGTTTCTTCTTTTCTTTAGACTAGCCAAACCCAAGTCCTGCAGCCGTTCTTCAAATGTTTTAGTCTCCAGGCTTTTGATCATTTTAGTGGCTCTTCTCTGAATTTTTTCCAAGGTATCAACATCTTTTTTGTAGTATGGTGATCAAAATTGGTTGCGGTATTCTAGGTGTGGTCTTACTAGGTTTTATAAAGTGGTACTTACTAGGTTTTATAAAGTGGTACATGATCTTGTTCTATGCCTCTGTTTATACAACCCAGGATTGTATTAATTTTTTTGGCTGCTGCTGCACACTGCTGGCTCATAGTCAAGTGATCGTCTACTAGGACTCCAAGGTCCTTCTCACAGTTGCTGTTTTTGAGCTAGGTCTCGCCCAATTTTACTTAAAACTTTAATTTTTCCTGCTTAAATGTAAAAGTTTGCTTTTCTCCATATTAAAACTCATTCTGTTGGACAGGGCCAATTGTTTTCAAGTTTGTCAAGATCTTTCTGGATCCTCTGGGGTGTTGGCTATTCCTGCCAGTTTGATGTCATCTGCAAATTTGATGAGTTCCCCTTCTATTCCCTCATCTAAGTCGAAGATATTGACAAGTACTGGGCCTAAGACGGACCCTTGTGGTACCCCAATGCTTCTCTCCATGTGGATGTAGTACCATTGAGGAGTACTCACTGAGTACAGTTTGTAAGCTTTTTTATTATTACTGGATGTATGAACTGCATATGATGTCAGTTTAGAGGTAGTCAAATTCATTATTGTCTTGAGTAGTTGTTCTTTAATGCAGCTAATGCTGCAAACCTATTTTGCTGGGAAAATGTACTGAGAATTAAAAGCTTACATTCTCTGTGAATCTGCAGTCAAAATCTTCCACCATTTCAATGAAATGACTGAGAACATATCTGTCAACAACTTCATTCATACATAGAATACTTGTCAAACTGAATGGCTCTTTTCCCTTCTTGCCCCCCCCCCAATCTCATGGATCTTGTAATTAAGTTTAAGTATTTCCAACATGCTCTGGAGCCTGAATACAGCTAACTTAAACTATATGAAGTAACTGAATCTCCGAAAAAACATAAGAATTGAAAGCATGAGCTGTGGATACTGGGCTTTTCTTTACAAGTCTGCTAAACAGAAAGTACAATACTGAAGAAGAATGTATGTTTGTAAAACATCTCATAATAACTTGTCAATTATCTTACCTTTAATTGTTGCTGCAATTCACTGTTCAGTCTGGCCAAAACAGTGTTGGTCTCCTTATTGCGTCTAATTGATGCCTGAATAGCTTTCTTGTCCTTTCCCACTGATCTGAGGAGACATTTCATGAAACAACTTTCAGGAACTGTGGAATACTTTTCTCCCCTAAAAGCTCAAGTTGTTTTGAACACAATATTGTTAAATTCCTTAGCTCTGTAATGTGCTTAATTGTACAACTGTAAAGAAAATGGCTTTTATAATTTTGGCCTTCTGTTTTCTCAGATTACAGAGCTAATATTTGAAGTATTTAAAGCTTACATCCGTTTGCTGGCACTTTCTAAGACTCTTTTTTTTCTATGAAGAGATCCCATGTTGAACAACTCAAAATCATCTTTGAATTGTTCTATTTTGCAAGTTCCAACAGAACAGAGTATCTGTAGCTCAGGAACTGTGGAATCCTTGCTGCTTTCTGAACTTTCTCGTTTGCTTCCAGACATTTCATTACCCATCTGGGTAACAACATCAATGCCAGTGAGTGTGGGTTCTGCTCCCTGATTATATATAACAGCTTTTTTCCAAGTGTTTGAAACAACAAAGCTGCTGTCTGCACATTTCATTGGATTGAATCCTTTATATTTCACAACTTTATAGCTTCAAAAATCACTGAACATGTTTCCAACAACAGTTTTAACCAGGCATGTCAAATTGCTGGCCCATGGGCCGGATGCGTCACGCTGAAACCGCGCCCACCCCCTTGCCGGCAATGGGGGAAAAGTCCCGATACCTTGTGCGATGTCATGTGACGTTGTGAGTTTGACATGCCTGGTTTAAACAGTACCAGTTTATATGACTGTCTGTGTAAATGTAGGTGGTGGCCAAATGAATTTCCCAATCTCCTGTTTTGTGGCCTGCCCAGAACAACCCCCCCCCCCAATTAAGAAGCAAAATCACAGGGGTTTGGTTTTTTTTTACAGGGAAACAGCTCACAAAATCAAAAGCACATTATCCTGCACTTTGACCATTGCAACTTAGAAAAATACCAAAGGTCTCAATCTTCAACTTTCCTCTTGGACACACCTTAGAATCCAATTTTAGTTTAGAACATCACCAAATGGAAAAAGTTACCCCAAGAGTTGGGCATTCTCTCAATCATATATAAAAAAAGCTCCACATGATGAAAGAAGGGTATGTGTGTGTGCATCGGTTAGTTTGCATGAGCCATTTCATTCCATCCTTATACAGAACTCACAGATATTTTATTTAATTTTAATAAATAGGCACTTGCAAAAGTAGCTTGCAAAATATTCTGTAGTAATTTCCCCTGTAGCCTCAAGATTAAAACTTGTGTGCAGATCAAAGTTTGTGTATACTGCCTTTCTTAGCAATTGGAGGACTCAAGCATCACAGACCATTTATAGGCCTCTTTAATAAATCTATTTGCTATTTAAAATGAAAATATCTCAGTATTAGAGATACTCATACACATCTTGGGTTACCTAGGAATAGATGGCTGAGAAGCAAGAACAGCAGCTATGACACCTGTTTTCTGCGCATGCTCCTCAACTTCAGGTCTCAGCTCATCTTCGGATTTTGGCCTTCTGCGGATAGGCTTTGGCGGTGGTGCTAGAGGTGTAGTGCCTTTGGCCTGAAAAGAGAGTCATCGTGGTTGATGAATACATACTGCAGTTAAGTTTCACCTGACTTCAGAAAAATTAGTTGGTTAAGTAATTACAAATACTAGTTATTTAAGCTATAAGAACCGCTTTGATGTAGTGCAGTGGTTCTCAACCTGTGGGTCGGGACCCCATTTGGGGTCGAACGACCATTTCA